AGGGGGCGAGAGGCAAGAGAGTTAACCTTGGAGGAGAGGTCCCGGAGGGAGGCCGAAAGAGTGGCGTCAGAAGAGGGTGTAGGCTGAGGGGCCTGGAGGGCATCAACCTTAGCGGAAAGGGAAGAAACAGACTCAGTGAGATGTCCCACCATAGTAACGAGGACCGACAAGAGGGGAACAACCGCCTCATCAGCGCTGTCGTATTCCTCAAAATCGGGAGAGAAAACAGACGGGAACACTGCTGGGTTCCAGCCTAAGCCGTTGGCGGCTTGGGAAAGGAGAGCCTTAACAGCGTCCTCTTGAGAAACAGGGGGAGCAGAGGCCCGGCCCGTAGGGTTGGCCCTGTTGCTGGCACGGCTGGAAGAGGTGCGCTGGGGCCCTACAGAGGGAACCCTTGGTGCGGGGCTAGGAGCAGACATCGCGTAACGCGAAATGCGTTGGTGCCGAGAAAACACCCGGTAGCACGGAGGGAGTAGCTTGGGGTGCAAAGGCTTTGAAGCCTAAGCGAGGTAGGGAGAAGGCTTTGTGTAACGTTCACGGCGGGGAAAATGCAGAGTTTTCACCGTCCCAAATAGGAAGTGTTTTCAATCGGGAGGTGAATAGAGGGCGCGGAGGTTGTAGTACGGATCCGGCTACCCGTTGATAACTTGTACCGGCAGTGATACTATGATACTGTAGCACAGCAGTCCGCAACAGAACAACCCTAACCCCCACCGAGCAGAATATCATACGAGCACAACACGAGTATGATATGATAGAATCCCCACACACTCTACAAGTACGAGTACAATAAACATTCTGCCGCGCGATTACCAACAAGTCAATAATAAAGGGGGGGCATTTGACACCCTACGATTTAAAATAGTGATACCCACGATTTGAGATGATTTCCAAATCATGTTTCAAATTTTTTTTTGCTCGCAAATCAGTGAGACAATGACCTGAAAAAAAAATTATAATTTTTATTTCTTTTCCAAATCATGATTTGGAAACAGCAGTGTCGGGCGAAAAGCCAGTATCCAGCATGAACAACCCGAGATCATTATTTGAGATACGGTGGTGACTATGGTACGGTACGGTATCATAGCTCAAATCACAGTGATCCAAAACAAACTCCCCCTAACAACTTCCCCAATAAATTAACCCGGCCAACAACAACAAACGGGAAGGACCCGCCCTACAGCACTCGAGTACCGGTACGAGTACCGGTACTAGTACTCTTACAGTGCTAGCGAGTGCGATCCGTACCTCACGAATTACTAATGTAAACAGCAGAAACCACCCGCCACTCTAAAAACGGGATGAAAATATGCCGTACCTCCTTTAAGAAAAAAGGATGGAAGGATGGAAGGATGGAAGAATGGAAAAGAAAGAAAAAAAGCAATAAACTGTTTCCGAGTCGCTAAATTCTGACACTTGGAGTCCGGGCACGGAAGAGTGCTAGTACGGTACTGATGCAGGGTACAGTACTCGAGTACTCGTACAAGTAGAGTACCGGCATCATACCGGTAGGCACCGCAAGTAGATGAACTCTCGACCAATCATTGGAGCAGGACCCAACTGTCCCGATTTGGGGCTTGTTTCAGGTGTGGCTGGTTAATTTTCTTTTTCTCTCTTCTTTTTTCTTTTTTATTTCAATTTAATTTTGGCGTTCGGGGGTTTCCGTGCGGGGTGCCTTAGTGCTGCTTACCGTACTGGGTACTTGTACAGGTACCGTAGGGAGTTACGGGTACGGTAGGTTGGTTTTGGGGCGAGGTACAAGTAATTTTCGAGTGAGCGGGTATGATGAAGGGGAGGAAGGGGGGAATAATTTGTTTGTGGTGTTTATACTGGTATATTCCTGGATGCGTTCCTGGATTATGTATGGGCCAGGGACAAGGTATCATATAATATGGTGGATTGGTGGGTGGTAACAAGCTTCTCTATTTAAAAGAACTTTCCTGGAGCAGTGGGATGACTGCCACTCAGTCCTCCATCCACGAGCCAGAATTGGGCGTTTACGTATGAACTCCTGTTATCCCACCCATCTTCGTCAGCCTTCCTCCTCCCTCTCTCCGGGTGCGAAAGGGTGATGGTCAATACATACTCATCGCTCCCCAGAAACAACGCAACCCTCGCAATCTCATCGCTGGTGGCGCCCCGCTTGAGTGGATTTATCTGTCCAATCTTGCCCTCGGTCCCGCGCTTCCTGGCTGCGTCCCAGGCTCCACTCGTCATTCCAGTCTTGGTTAGGCCAGGGCATATAGCGTTGCAGCGGACATTCGTGCCTGCGAGTTGGAACGCTGAAGTCTGCATTATGTTTATTACTGCGGCTTTGGAAGCGGAATAGTCGGCTGCCGTATCTCTCATCAGCCTCGGCTGCGCAGCAGAATGAAGGGGTAAATATCTTACTAGCCCCAGCGCCGGACCTAACCCCAGCAGTTGAAGCAGTAGCAATAATCGAACCTCCAGGAACCTCCTTATCCTTGCCAACAGCCTGCATTGCCTTCCCGGCATACTTCACTGCCAGGAATACACTCAGGGTATTGATCCTCACGGTCTCCATAAATTCCTCCGCCGTGATGTCGCCAACGAGCTTCGTCGCGCCGAGTGCGCCCGCATTCGCGAAGAATATGTCCAGGCGGGCGTACTTGTCTAAGGCGTCCTGGACCACCCCGGCGACTGAGGCTTCGTCAGCCGCATCGAAGGTGCGCGCATGGATTTTGACGTTTGGCGCGAGGGCGTGCAGTTCGGATTCTAGGGCTGGGAGGTTGGTATTCGAGAGGTCGCAGATGAAGAGGGCCTTGAGGCCGTTGCGGGCGTATTGCAGGGCCGTGGCGCGACCAATGCCGATCTGTTTTGAGGGTTTTAGTTCTGGGCGTTGTGGGGTTGTGGGGAGAATGGGACCTACGGCAGAATTACAACCGGTGATTATGGCGACTTTGCCGGTTAGTCTCCTGCAATTCCTCGTCAGCTTCTTTCATCCCCGATTCTCGTTAGGGATAGATGGCAAAGAGGAATTCCTACGGCCCGACCGAATCCCCCGCGACCATCGGGACAGGGGGTAATCCTCCCTCCCAACCGCCACTACCCACATGTCCTGCAACCTGCAGCAATCGAGACTGTGCCGATGATGATGATGATGACATTGCCTGTTATTGTTGCTTACCACTAGATCGGTGGTTTTTCGGGGGAAATATCGTCTTTTGTTAGTTAAACGCGGTAGTTGTGGAGTTGATTGGGTTGAGCTCGCCTGGTCTGCGCTGAAGCTATAATAAAGTTCCGAGAACGTGGATGGCTGCCGCTATTGCCGAGCCTCGGCACAGCGTGCGTGCGGGAGGGTTGGGTTCGGATGCAGGACAGGGCGCTTGGCAGGCAGTCAGTTGCTGATAACAGAGACGAGGGAGGCGGAAGTTTATCCTATGATAACGATAGATGTGGCCAATGTTGCATGAATCATGGAGGAGGAGGAAGAGATGGGGGTAGGTATATAGGCTAGTTTTGTGATTGCTGACAGAGATGTTTAAGTTCTGAAGCTGGCTTTTTGTGGATCTCAAATTGGCGATCTCTTCGTCTCAAGTATATCATACCGAATTTCACTCATTTTTAGCGCTGCACTATTACCCTGATGAGTTTGAAGATCGCCCATCAAAGGAATAGGCTCTGAGGCTCACCCACGGGAGGCTGGCCTAGCCAATCAACAAACTTGGCCTTCCCTGAGTTGAAGATGAACCACTACTTATATCACACGTTTTAGAGTTAAGAGGTGGACCAAAACCATTACCCGATTGGAAGCATCGAATATCGTGCACGGTATGGCCCACTGTGGATATCGGATTACAGGATTCCCCGCTTCATTCCACGGATTTCGGGTGTCCGAGTGTATATATCTCCTCAGGATGAACGCCTCTAGGGAGTTAGCCTTGAATCCATGCACTCACAGTCCATCACTCGGTTTTGAATTTTCGGCACAGAACCCTTTTTGGTATTTCGTTATGAATGACAATGACAGTTGAATACCATGGCGCCCTCCCAATTCTAGTCTTGCAATGCTCTATCTGCTTTCTTCTCAAGGTTCCGTCGTTCTGATCCCCTCCCTAATGCCCCATCACAAGTGGTCACCGGCGAAGCCTCGCAAATCTCACCAGCTCAATTTTCATACCCGCTCGTCCATCCAGCGCCTAGACATCTCCATCTAATCTCGAGCAACTCTGCTCAGCACCGGAACTGGCTTCCCAATGGCCCTCTGGCCCTCTCCTGCCCCCCGCTGCTCACCGCCCAAACTCGGCCTCCCCATCTGCGAACTAAAGCGACCCCCATAACCCCCTCCTCCTCGTTGAGAAGCTCCGTAAGTGGGCTGCACGTCAGTGACCAACTGGAGGCGTCTGTACTCCTCGGTATTGTCGGTTGCGTAGTCGGTCACGGACTGGTCTGAGGGATCGGAGATGGAACGGTATTTGCGCAGGAAGTGGAAGAGACAGCACTTCATTTTGATCGTGGGGGTTTTTATTTATTTTTCGGGTTGCTTTGTGGGTTTCTGCGCGTTTCTTGGGACGTTTCCTGGGGGGTGAGTGGTGGGGGGCGGGGAAGAGGAGGGTTGTGTTTGTGACGGGAAGTAGGTGTAGGTGGATATACGCGTGTCAGTGCACGTATGCATGCTTTGGGGATTGCGAGGTTGTGTAGTTACGATATCATAGGTATGGCATCGATTCCGCGGTGGTGGGTTGGGAGCTGGAGTATAATATGTGTTTTGAGATGTCTTGGGGGGGGGTAGGCTAGTGGTCATTTAGGTGGGATGGCAGCCATCATGGTTGATCACTCGGCATTTGTTTTTTCCTTTATCGGGGGTTTGAGTTTGTGTGTGTGCTCCGGGCTATGTAGCGGAATATTTACAGATGTGGGGTGGTAAGATATATGCCCACGGCTTTAGATATCATACTTAGCTGCATGGCCTTGTTGTTTTGCCTTTTAGTTATTTTCCGCTCGTTATTTATTCTGTCAGCTCTATCGGACGCTTCCCTCGCAGCATCCTCTGGGATGCACCTTTTCAATATGGGAGCGATAGACTACTCCTTAGTGAATGGCCATGGCTTAGGAGCTCTTGCGCTGGTGCACGGTGGGCTTTTGCTCAAGTGCTTGTAACTGGTACTTGTTTTTAGGCAAGCTGTACTGAGGAAAGGTACCGGTACCTAATGCATTGACATACTTATACCGGTAGGAATTCACTTGCTTGCTGGGCAGTGCGCCGGCTCGATGAGTTAGTGACCGTTAGAGGATTACCGACATTCGAGTACGTTTCTCGGGCAGGGGGCTGTCAATCATCGGAGATCCCGCATGATCGGGTTCCAGCCTATCACGACTTCTCAAACATCTTTTGGCAGCCCGAGCGCGATCTCCCGACTCCCATCTCCCCGGTTTATCATGGTGATACGTGTCCTTGAGTCGCTGACAACCGGTCTCGTGAGCATTCTGACTCGCCTTCCGCTGCTGAGGGAAGAGGGCGATCCATCCGGATCCATACAAGTGCGCCAGCACCCCCCCGAATGACAGGCAGGAATATCCAAGCCCCTTTGGCTGGGCTCAAAATCCTAGTTGGCGCTCCGGACCGCCTCTAGCTATTGTGGCTTACGGTACTCCGGCGTCGATATCTCTTATCACCCCAGCCCCACAACAGTGCACAGTAAATAGTCATCTCAGGGAAGTGGAAGCCCCTCGCACTAGTGCCAGCGGCCCGAACCCAGCTTGGTGCTGGCACCAAGGCACTCAAAGTCAGGAGTACGTACCAAATGCATACGGCGGCAGAACATTTGGACTCAAGGATGGAATGCTGCGGGTGGGGTGGGGTGAGATGGATTGGCCGGGACAGGTAGGGATGCTGTGCAACATGAAATTTAATATATTTTTCCTTGTCGGGCAGCGATTGTATCGCATCGTATTCCTCTGTGATGCCGGTGGGCATGGGGAGAAGATAGGGATCTGCGGGTACGAGTAGTGGGAAGGGGACGATTGCTGTGTTTCTGGATCACGTGAAGAGTGGGAGCGGAGGCTAGACCTATTTTGGTGGGGAAATGCGCAGTCAAGGGCAAGGGCAACTTTTGTGGGGCAGAGTTTGCTGGGCGGCGATGGGATGATGGGATGGATAGTCTAGCTCTTCGTCACCGATGCGTCAGCTCCATGCCTTTTGGTTTGTATGGCCCTTTCCCGCCGGCAATCTTGGGAAACTGGGGGTTCGTAGAGAGGGAATATCATAGCCAGCCCAGCATTATTAGCACCTCCCGGGACATCGTACGGGTGGAAGGGAGACAGACCTACAGGGACCGTGAACCGTGAACCGTGAACGGAGGGATGTGAGACAGCACGCCGAGAAGGAATAGAAAGGGGAGCGATGGGACACGAAAGCAGGGTTGTTGTCCCTACCGTGAGAGTGCCGCTCTGTTTCGCTGTTCGTTGATTTTCGCCATCACCGATTCACCATTTACCTGTACTCGTAGTGGGCAAACGGATGTCGCAGAGCTCTCACCCGAACCTGGACTATTGCAGCGGACCGCACACACACCCATCACCCTACCCTCCTCAACCTCAGCCCTTCATCCCCTCTCTTTGGCTGCGGTTCGTCTACTCCTCCTACAGTACCGCGTTCGTTACCATATGCATCCGCTGACCCCCCTCACTGTTAGTCCGGCCTAGCACCCCCGACTAAATATCCAGGATCCGATAGCAGCCCGGGCGGGATCAAACCTTGTAGACGCCTTGAACGGAGCTCCCCACAGCCTCTTCCCTTATCGACTGCCTTGCACCTTTTAGACAGAGCCCGATATCGAAGAGATCCTTCTTTATCTACTGCACGGAGCCCCCGCAGCGGAAGCACCGTTTCGTGTGCCCTTCTTCCTGCCCGGGCGTTTACCTTTGGTCCACTTGTTACCACGGTATGGAACCCAACTCTGGCCAATGTGAGGATGGATCGCCTTCGGGTTCGATATCGGAAACCCCGCCTGCGGATGAGTCGTCGGAGGGTGCTCCCGCGGACTTGCACCGGTCAATTCCCTCTCGGGAGTCGTCGACCGTTGACCTCTTTGAGACCGTCGACGAAAGCCATCCACTGTCTAACACTGGTTCTGATGACGATGGCCCCGGGTCATCCCTGGCGGCCTCGATAGCTAATGCCACTACCAAGTCTACAAGCCCTGTTTCCCAGAGATCTGTATTTCGTCTACCGTCCGATCGGACATCCGCTCAACAGTCCCTAACATCATCCGCCACATCACCACTACACAGATCCCTCGCTTCTTCTCCCATTACCCGGCCAGCGGAGCAGGCCTCGGATCCGAGGTCTGCCCTGTTTGATGATCATGTTGCCTCCGCCCATGTCCCCGGCAGTCTACACTTGGCGCCCGATAGTGCCATTGAAAAGCTGGTGGAGCGTCAAGGCGTTATTCCCTTGATCCGCCAGTTGGCTTCGGACCTCGCCCATCGTGACAGGGAACTGGTATCCATACGGCGGAGGGCGGAGGAGAGGGAGAGGGCTCTAAAGAGGATGTTGGTGGAGGTTGAGGTATCCAATGCGGATATTGAGAAACGGTTGGCGGCCGCCACCCTGCAACGGAAGCCTTCTCGGGAGACTATGCGTTCCGCCGCCGGGGATACGAGCTATACCGAGAGCATTGACGAGATGATGCAGCAGGCTATGAGTGAAGAGGATGTTTTCAGTGTTGTCGACGATAGCTTGAGCTTGATGGAAGCCACCACCACCGATCTTGGGGATGACGACCGACACAGCACAAGGGATGACATGGTCACGCCAAAGGCAACCCTTAGAGCACGATCGGATTCTAGATCGATCCTATTTGAACGGGATACGGATAGTATGTCCATTATATCTAATGCATCGTCGAGAAGGGGGTCCACAATCCGTGGATGGAAGAGTTTCTTTTGGGGTCAAGGAATAGGGGAGGGGGATGAGAGTAACATCGGGAACGAGCGATTGGTATTGCAGAATCCCCCCCCTGGTAAAAGGAGGGGGATTACGCGCGAGACATTTTCCCCCCCTCCGGAGGGGAAACCAAGAATTCTGTCGCGAGCCTCCTCCCGTTCATCCCTAGCCCCCCCCAAATCTGCCCGTTCGACGAGTCTCCAAATAACCTCTACCGTTCGCCGCACTGCGTCTCCCTCTTCACTTTACACTTTCCCGCATTTTGCCTCGGATCAATCGCACCCGACACCCCCGCATTTCAAGGCAGTTGGAGCTGCTGTTTCGATGATTCAGCCGGGATCCCACGCCGATGCACTCGTTCAGAGAGGGACATCAAATGCGGTTGCTGCTTGGGCGATGAGGTTGGTTTCTCACGCCCCACCATTGCATGAGCAGGAAAACTTTAATCCAAAGAGCCCTGTGCAACCAAGAAGTGCTAGCGCAGCTGAGGGATTTGGACTACCGGCGGACAGGCGGACGAGCTCGGGGTCAATTGATCGTGAGAATTTGCAGAGGATAATGGCGAAAAATGCAGCAAGAACACAGTCCAGTCCTAGGAGGCGAGCTGCTTCTACTGCGTCCAATGGGGCACCTCCCAAGTCAAACAAATTCTTTCAGGATATCATGGATCATGCAGAGCGTATAGTGCCCCTAGGTAATAGTTCACAGAACCCGTCCGGTGCGGATCCAAGCTCCGGTCCCGTCGAGATGGATAGAATCGTGCCACATGCGGTCCAGCCGCCAACCCTGCTGCAAAGCTGGAATGACTATTACCCCACAGATTACTTGACGGACCGATTCGGGTTTATATATGATAAGAAGAGCAAGGCGCCGTCGGCCAAAAGCATGTCGTCGTCGGTTGGTGGCGACGACGCCAAGAAGCCGCAGTACGGGGATGCGAAGTCTGGATCTACGTTGGATGAGGGAGATTCATCGGATGCGTCTGATGGGGCGTATTGCGGACTCTTGGATGCTGGCGATACCACGACACCAACAGTATGGCAGGAACTTCCCTCGGAAATGCCTTCAACGGGCTTACACCAACCTAAGGTTAGCAAGGAAGCACCAGCGAAGGCTCCAGAGAATTCTCAGCATGGTCAACCGGCCAAGTCACTAATTGACAGAATTGCAAAATCCACATCTGCAGTGGCTTCCCCGACAACCACAAAATTTTCTGAAGCGCCCTTGGCCCTCCGATCTCCGTTACACTCTAAAATGACCTCCATCGCGGAAGCAAGCACTGTTCAACTGCTTCTTGGGCAACTTAGCGACCTTCACGATTCATTGCAGAGAGATAGAGGGGCTAAGTGGAATGAATTCCTGAAGAAAATCCGGCAGGAAAGGCGTCGGGGTGAGGAGGAAGAAAAGGGTATGCCAGAGGTCTTGATGGGAGATGGCGAACTCATTGGCATTGCGACATTGGGGAATGAGGGTAGAGGGGGCAGGCAACGATGGAAAGAGTTTAAGGGCCTCGTTCTAGGTGGTATTCCGGTGGCATATCGTTGGAAAGTTTGGGCCGAGTGCAGTGGTGCCACTGCAATGCGGGTTCCTGGATATTACGAGGACGTTCTTGAGAACGGTTTGGACGACCCGCTAGTTATCGGCCAAATTGAAATGGACATCAATCGCACTTTGACGGATAACGTTTTCTACCGCCAGGGGCCTGGCGTTAGCAAATTGAAGCAAGTTCTTGTTGCATACAGCCGCCGAAAACCGGCCGTTGGATACTGCCAAGGAATGAATATGATTGCGGCAAGTTTGCTTTTGATCATGCCAAGCGAGGAGGATGCTTTCTGGGTACTCTGCAGTATCGTTGAGAAAATCTTACCGAAAACATACTTTGAATCAAACTTGCTGGCTTCTAGGGCCGACCAACAGGTTTGTGGTGCTCTAGTCCGTTTTATGGTCGCAGGCGTTTTAACCTATCTTCAGGTTCTCAAGCAATACGTTCAAGAAGTGCTCCCGTCATTGCACATGCACCTTCAGAAACTTGGGGTTGAACTAGAAGCCCTAACCTTCCAATGGTTCTTGAGCATATTCACCGATTGTCTTGCAGCGGAAGCACTCTTCCGTATCTGGGATGTAATACTATGTCTTGTTGGGAGCCCGTTTCTGTTTCAGGTGGCCCTGGCCCTGCTCCGTTTGAACGAGAAGGCTCTCATTTCCTGCAAAAGTGCGGCAGCAGTCTACAGCTACTTGAATGGGGAGATGACACACCAGGGGATTAGTATAGACGGATTGATCAGAGAAAGCGATGGGATGAAGCACCACGTGAGGAGGAAAGAAGTCGAACAGAGGAGAGAAAGGGCTGTCGAGAAGGAGTTAGGAGAGATGGGCTCAGAGGACAACGGGAACGCCGCCGCCACAGAAGGCGTGAAGACGGGCTCGCAAATCCGCGTGGTGGCCAACAGTTCCTGCGAAGTAAGCCGGGAACCGAGCACCAAGAGTATTCACAATGAGGAGAGAGGAGATAGCAGTGATGAGGACAAAACGAAGGGAGAAACCGGAGCGGAGCCGAGTAGCGGCGTTATCCAAGAAGAAACTGCGGAGGAACTATTAGCAGAGGACGCCAAACCCCTTGTGGAAATAATCGAGCATGTCGCCAACGAAGATCAAGGTCCAGGGATCATGTCATCACCGCCTCCGGACAAGCAAATCGCTTCTATTCCTCCTACGGAAGCCTCTGCAATTCCTATCGTCGCTACTACGTAGCCTCGTGCTCTCACACCCACTGAATTGGCATATATAACGAATTAACGAACGCATGAACGAACGGTGGGGCTAGCAAGGGCGTCTGACTAGTCCCGACGCGGGATTATTATTTTTTTACTCTCTCCCTTTTACTCTCTCTTGTCTCTGTTGCGTTTAAAAGACTTTTCGGGCATTTATATTATAAGAGTTATCACCTTACCGTTTTCCACCGCTCCTATGTGTGTGGCGTTGCGCTGTCTTTCTTTTTATTTTTATCTTTTTCCTGTATCACCGAGCTTATTACCTTATGCATTACTTTTCTACTTTATTTTTTTCAATCCAATTTCGTCCCGTTCAGGAAAACATCACTACAGCACTTTCTTCTTCTTCCTTTTCTCTTTCCTCATATTCCTTTTTTGTCCCACCCAACACGGGAGGATGTGCATAATCCGGGAGTGGGTTCGGTTGGTTCGGGTTCGCGTGTACTTGTATTGTATCGGCGTTTTGCTGCTCGTCTGTCGTGGGTATTGGGTGTCTGTTCCTCGCTTGTTCGGGCCACGTTATGTGAATTTGAAGATGGTGTGTTTCTTTATTGTGTTTTGGGTTTGCCCCCCGTGATGTTCTGAGGAGCATGTGTAGAAGAGCGCGATAGAGTAGATTTGTGTGGTGAGCGGCGGTGTTCTCTTTTTTTTTCTTTTTCTTTTTTCCTTCTTTTTTTCTCTTCACAGTTGGCCGGTTAGGCCTTGCTATGGAGCACGAGTATCGGCATTGGCTTGACGATGATGAAGCAGAGATGTGTAAGTTGGTGCATAGTACGAGTACATGTATACATTGTTCATTCGACCGTGAGTCGTGCGTGAGTAACGGATCCTACGAATAGTGCTACATACGTTCCGGACAGGTCCTGCACTACGATACAGTACTGGAATGCACAAAAACCGAGTGCTACCTGATGAATCGTAATACGCTGCATACGGTATGATACCGGTAGTTGCAGACTTGCAGTGGGCCACCCCCTTCGAAATAATAACAAGGCGGCCGCTGCCGCACCATACCATACCATACCATACCGCGCAGGTACGATCTCGCGACGCAGGGCTTAGCATCGCACCGCACCCTTCATTGTGCCCACATAACAGACCCTCGGGAACACGGTACCGTACGGTACACCACAGTGGGATAAATATCGGTAATGCGCCACGTGTTCGTGAGGCTGTACCGCACGTACCGGTACTCGAGTACAGGTACGAGTACAGTACCTGGTACTCGTACCAGGATTTCTTATGTCCGAAAAGCGCTTTCCCGATTCTGAGCCTGGGGGGCGAGCCGCCACTCATTCGGGGTGGTGGGAGAAATACAGTAATCGGGCTCTGGGCCGGGTAATCTCGGTGGTGTGGGGGGGGGGGTAAGGTAAGGCAAGGTAAGGTGCAAGTACGATAGCTCCGGTCCTATCAAGTTCTCTCGTGATGGGCGGTGGCTGGTGGTTGATTGGTCGATTTCTTTCGTGGAGTTGGCGCTGTTGCTAATGCAGCTATGCCCGATTGCGCCGTGGGGTTGGGGTTTGGGTTGGTTTTTTTTTTTTTTTGGTGGGGGGGGGAGCTATTGTTAGGTTCAAACTTGAGCTCCCTAATAGGGAGAAGGGGTGGTTGTCGCCCTGCTGGTATGATACTTGTATCGTAAGGTAGATTACCTGTACAGTATCGCACCGTTATATCATGGGGGAGTCAGCGGGCACGGTGTGGCGGGAGAGTGGCCTTACGATGCTATCTTATTCATATCATACTGTGCTGTACTGTACTGGGTCGGGGTGCGGGGAACGGGCGGTGTATGTGTGCGTGTGTGCAAGGGATCTTGAGAACCGTACGGGTTACGATATATCCGGAGAGGGAGGATGAGGGTTTTTTTATATTATATTGTAATATGTAATATCGCACGATACCTTGATAATCGTGACCGGGTTCTGAGCGCCGCAATATACGGGTAGACTAAGGTACGTGGAACAAGAAGGCCCCCGTTCTGCTCGCGGATTTCTAAAGTTCGAGTCCCGTTGACCAAGAGAATGGGGCAGGAGCTGTGTCCACATATCATACCTGTACAAGTAGTCTACATGTGGTTAGTGGTTGCCTTTCTGGGAATACAGTATGATATTTATGTCTGCGAACGAAAAGGCCGTAGACTAGAGAGGGTCGGGGGACTGCCGTTTTTATGGCTTGTGTTCCCTTTTTTGTATTTTCTGCATTTTTCATACTTCTTTACGGGACGGTTCCGGTCCTTTTGTCGTTGCTCGACGGGAATGTCTCGTCTCTATTCTTTGGACTACTGGACTCGTAGAGGCTTCTTTAGGTCAGTGGTATCATGCTGTAGGAGTGCAGTGCCGCTCGCATCCCTCGCGCCAAACCCATCTCCCTTCCCCTTCCCCATTCCCATCCACCCATCGCCAATCATCAGTCCGTGGCTGTTGCCCGAGCCCTTGGCCGGAGATCCGTTTCCTTCGATCCAGCCAACCGAGTGACCAAACCCAGCAACAACACAATCCTTTCTCCCCCCATCCCTGATTCCTACCCCCGAACCGCATCAACAGCAGGACGGCACCGATATAACCCTCTGCCCTCTTCCTTTTTGCTCATGGTACAAGTACAGAAACACGGAAAATACATATTTTTATCCTGCCTCTCGTCGATCACTATCTTCCATCATACCTTCCCCTTGTTCCTGCCCCTTCCCCCTCCTCCAGGGCTTTCTCGTGCTGTGCATGGGTGTTCTCCTCATCCCTCTCCCGGGTGCTGCGCCTCTCCATCGGACTTTTTTTTCTTTTCTTTCCCCCTTTGCTTGCTTGCTTGCTTGATAATCCGCCCCACTTATCGTCAGGTCATACCGGCGCTGCGTCCGTTACGGTAGCATTTTACTTTGTGTGTCCTCCCTCTCTAACCTCATACTACAGAGAGCTTTAAGACCCTAATCGTACGGAAAGGGACAAGGGAAAAGGAAAAGAAAAAAAAAAAAAAGAAGAAAAGAAAAAGGGAAAACTTCCCCCTACATACCCCCTCCGCTTCTCACTGTTCTCATCCCTCCACCTTGTCTCTCCACCCACCTTTGCGTCCCCTCCCATCCCGAGCACCCCGTTGTCACGACACACAGCACTCCATAGTTCCCCTTCCTCAAACAGCACAAGCACAACCACGAACTCCTAGGCTGGAATAATCACCCCTTGTAAGCTTGAGCAGTAAAGCTCACCACTCTCTCCGCCGCTTTCCACAACGCCAATTCTTCCTACGCTGGCGACCGTCGACGCGGCCCGGTACACCTTTCGGCCCCCCCGCACTGATGACCCAATTCTTCGGCTCATCGTCGGGCTCGGCCTCCCATCAGAATGAGAAGAAGGGCCCGTCGTCACCAAACAACACTCGCTCCTCATCCGCATCTCACTTCCCGACAAAGCTGAAAAATTTCTTTCGAATAAACAGCAGCAACACGAACGTGTCGACCACCGGCGAGCTGCAGACCTCGTCGTCGTATCTGGGGAGTAGCTTACGGCCCAAATCGCGGTTCCTGAGGGGTCGATCGACCTCCTCAGCTAGCCAGCTCGATACCGCTGACGTTTCCCCTACGGCTAATGCGAATCCTTATTTCGCTCACCAGGGGCCTCCCGCATTGAGGCATCATAATGATGGGAGCGCTCCCCCCTCCCCGCCGGAGACCCCCGACGGGCTCTCCCTTTCTCCGCCCACTATTAATGGAGCTACCGGTGCCAACGACAAGGCGGCCCAAGCGAATAAGGAAGAGTTGGCGAGAAAGTTGAGAAGGGTTGCTTCGGCGCCCAATGCCCAGGGGCTCTTTTCGTCGGGTGGCCAGGACGGTAGGCCCGTCACCGCGGCCGATAGTGAAAAGTATATGTCATCCAATTCACTCGCTCCCTCAACGCAGAGCAATGGGTCGACCGGGGAACTGAGAAGCACTTCTACGGCGAATTTGTTACCTGTGCCTAGCAATAATGAGGCGATCCCTGAGAGGCTTCGCCCCGCGGCTTTCCGACGGACCTACAGTTCGAATTCGATCAAGGTTAGGAATGTGGAGGTTGGTCCCCAGAGCTTTGATAAGATCAAGCTACTGGGTAAGGGGGATGTTGGAAAGGTGTACTTGGTGCGGGAGAAAAAGAGCAGTAGGCTGTATGCTATGAAGGGTTAGTGGATCTGCTGGATCTCGCTACGCGGACTATTGGCTAACTCTGGGTAGTGTTGAGCAAGAAGGAAATGATCAAGCGCAATAAGATCAAGAGGGCTTTGGCTGAGCAAGAGATTCTTGCCACTAGTAATCATCCTTTTATCGTTACGCTGTACCATTCATTCCAGTCCGAGGATCACCTTTACCTTTGCATGGAGTATTGCAGTGGCGGCGAATTCTTTAGAGGTATGATGCGTTGTTGGTACTTGGTAGCGTGAATGGTTATCTGAAATTTTGTAGCTTTGCAGACGCGGCCGGGGAAGTGCGTATTGGAGGATGACGCAAGGTTTTACGCTGCCGAGGTTACGGCGGCGTTGGAGTACCTCCATTTGATGGGATTCATCTATAGGGATTTGAAGCCAGAGAGTGGGTTTTGCACTTCTCGGTTTCGATTTGTTTGTCGCTGACGGTTTGTGAAGACATTCTGCTGCATCAGTCTGGCCACATCATGTTGTCCGACTTTGATCTCTCGAAGCAGTCGGATCCCGGTGGTGTTCCCACAATGATTGTGTCCAGGGGAGGAGCTTCACAGAACTCGTTGCCCACAATCGATACTAAATCGTGTATCGCCAACTTTCGAACAAACTCGTTTGTCGGAACAGAGGAGTATATCGCGCCGGAAGTAATAAAGGGTTGCGGGCATACTAGTGCTGTGGATTGGTGGACGCTGGGCATTCTGGTGTATGAAATGTTGTACGGAATTACGCCTTTCAAGGGAAAGAGTCGGAACACCACGTTTGCAAATATTCTGAGAGACGATGTTGGGTTCCCTGAGCACGCGGGGTCACCATCCATTTCGAAGTAGGTTGCGTGGATGTCTGGTTGGACGGGTGTGTGTGTGCTGACCGAGCTATAGTGTTTGCAAGTCGCTGATTCGTAAACTCCTGGTAAAGGATGAGAACCGTCGGCTCGGATCCCGTGCTGGTGCTTCCGATGTCAAGACACATCCATTCTTCCGCACAACACAGTGGGCATTATTACGCCACATGAGGCCCCCAATGGTTCCTAATGCGGGTAAGGGAATTGATGCCGTCAACTTCCGAAGCGTTAAGGAGAGTGAGAGTGTCGATATCGGAGCAGCCAGAGTCCAAGGTGTCCCGTTGAATAGCAATCTGGACACGCCGGGGGATAAAGATTTTGACCCATTCGAGGAGTTTAATTCCGGTATTTTTCACCATTGCTTCCTGGCTTGTGAAGCCATCAGTTGACAGCATATATAGTGACCTTGCATCATGACGGTGACCACGACCATCATCATCACCAACTGTCTGAAGACAATTCGTCCGAAGACGCCGTACATATCAAGTCCGCGCAGAGGTAGAGCTAAAGAAACGAAGAAAATGGAGGGGAGGGGACATCACGCAAGTTCTGTTGTGCCTTTTTCTCCCCCTTTCTGCTTCGCAGACTCAACACACTTAATTTTGGCCCTCTAATTACGCATACACGTACACGCGGATTGCTTGCGAACTCTTTTTCCTTCCGTTTTATCTCACTTTTTTCAATTTTCAATTTTTCATATTTTGGGAACAGGTGTATTACGGTTTTCGCATTTTTCTTCATCCATCTCGTTTCTTATTAAGCAAAAAACGAAAAACCCCTTTTCATTCCTTTCCGCTATTCCACTTGGCTTGGGCAAAAATGGGCCACCTTGTTTCTGCCCTCTGGCGCAGTTTCCGCGGATTGGTGTGCCTTCTTTCTCATATATCAATATACCCACGTTCTTTACTAGGGGGAGGGGGTGTTGCTTGCTTTTGATGTCTTGTTTTTTGCCTTCCCGTTCGTGGCGGTTTGTAGCATGATAAGTACCATAGTGAAGTTTATTGGTGATGTGTTTCGATATCGTCGGGGGTCTCTCTTAAAAATGTTGGATGGGTTGGTTGGTTGGCTGGCTGGTTGGCTGGTTGGTATGGGGTTGGTGGGCGGATGGATGGATGGGATATGGGTGATGTAGGTTGGGATAGGCCAATATAGGGAGATTATTTTATTTATATCTATACTGTAAAAACTCGAATAATTGAACCTGGTGCTAGGGGGTTGAAATAAGGTTTGTGCCATGGAGAAACAGTTGCCTGGCAGAACTGGTTCCATTTGTAGTTGTCGTAAGCTATTAAACATGTGCTTGGACCTATGCTCACAAACCTCATCTGATCAAATAGAGGTATAGTAAAAATATAGACAATAAAAATTCCCTAACTTTCATAAAATACAATTCCTACTTCTAGTTTGAAATCAAAATTGTGCTAAGACCAGTAGGATGAGTTCAAGCTTACTCAACTCTGCCACCTTTATCAGTAGATTAATTCTATGCTAGAGTGAAAAGGAAGGATGGACTAAAACAAAAATAATTAGCTGAAAGCCTCCAAGTCATCCTGCAGTGTGTTGGCTGTCCCTATTGATCTTTTAGGATTAGCTACAAGCTTCAAGTATTATTATAACCAGAACTGGAATCCTGTTCAGAAATTTGTTTATGTTTTGTTTTACTTGTGGTTTCAAGTATTCTTTGATACTTTATTTGTTTTACTTGTGGTTTTAAGTATTCTTTTAATACTCTAGTTGTTTGAAGTATGTTCTTGATTGAGAAACACCTAGGAAATCGCTCATGCAGGACATGGATGAAATTATGTCTTTAAAGACTGCTGATTTTCTTAATAGAACAGTAGACTTTAACAGACTTTGACAGACAGTATTCTAATATACTTAGTTGAATGGTTACCTCTTTAAGTCTCTATTCTTTATATCTTTTTCTTGGAGTCTCCCTTAGCATAGTATGTCTATAAGTTATAGATCAACTTGTATATATGCTAGTTCTTTTGTACCCAGAAGTGTAACTAGTACTCCAGTGTAAAAATGTTATACTAGTCATCCAATTGGACTACTTCAAGTATATTAAGTGGATCTACCCTGATATGAAAGCTGACCAGGAGTGAAACTGCTTCACACTTTAAAATTTTAGAAAACAATCTTTTGTAGTAGTAAAAGCAGGAACAGGAAGGATAAATTTGTAAATTTTATACTGAAGTAGTACTGAATTTCAGGAGTCGAAAGACAGCAAAAGTAGAAATTGTTAGAGTGTCACAAATGGTGACTAAGCAAGGCAGATTTCATATGGCTCAGAATTCTGAGTCATAGGTACTATGTTGGATTTTACATCTAACTCTAATAAGAGCTAGGAAGGTTTTAGATGATAGGTGATAGCCAGTCATTAGTTATTATGTTTACCTGTTTGCTTTTGGTAACTCATGATTGTGAATCATATAAGATTATGAATTTTGCACATGACTTACAGTTATAAGTCATGAGTTTCACTCAGATGATGCAGGTTGTACATCTGCAGTAACTTGTTATTTGAGATTGAATTAGTGTAAGGCAGGTTCAAGTTGTGTAGCTACTTATATAAGTCAGTTGAAGGATCTTGCATGACTTACAATTGTGAGTTGTAAAGTTTGTATGACATGAGGGATAAGTCATACTGAGTGAAGAGTAACTATATAAGGAGTTCCTAGAACCCAGAAGGATGAGCTCTTTATATGTTCTTCAAAGTTATTTTCAACATATGATACTACTTACTTTCATTCCATAATGGTAATGATGAAGTCTTTTAGCTGATACCTTTGGGGAATTATTTGAGTTCACCCAGTAGCCTTGAGGGTTGAAGTTATTGATAGAGTTGTTATTTAGTTTGTTTGTAGTACTTGTCTCACTTCTCCTTGACTCATCTCTTCATGAGATTGTATATATGCTAAGGAGCCTTTTTCACTTAAACATAATGGGCCATTGCTTTGGTAAAATCTTTTAGCATTTCTATACTCAGGCTTGTTTACTTTTAGGATTTTGCATTCATTGTATTAGGGGGGAAGGAGGATATGTGTAGGAGAATTACCTGTTACTAGGAGAGTTAGACAGCTCTATACTGATTTGGAGTTGATGATACTTATCCTTTGATTATTTTATATATTGTTTCTGGTAATACTAATACCCTCAGAGTTGATTGATGACTACTTTGTATTTTCAATATATCATACCAATTGTGTTCCCTTTTTTTTTGGGCAGGTCTTTCCCTCAAACCTGGTTCTGTACTATAAGGAGTCTGTACCTGACTGATGGCTACATTCTTCAGTCAGAATCCTACAATGTTGTTTCCCCTTATTTCCCTAATATTTATTCAGTATAGCATTACAGGTAGTTGTCAGATCTACTTTCAAGTTCCTGCCATCTTGGTAGGGAAAATACCTCTGACCCTAAATAATTACTCTCTTTCTCTTGACTTTTATGGTTGGATTATAGTAGTAGTAGGTGATTGACTACAAGGTTCTCTTAAGTAGGGGCTGATATACTTGGCTACATTGGGTATTGGTAGGCCTTGGTGATCACACCCATTGCAAGTGTAGTATTCCTTAGTTTACTTAGCTCAGCTGGTGCCTGCTTTTTACAATCATATCTGTTCTGAGGCTGGTTGTCATGATTGTTCTGTTTTGGGCCTGCTTCCTTTAGCCTGGATATATAATACCTACTTGCCTGAGCTCGCTATGTCCTGGTGGGTGTATGAGTTGGCTGTAGGCTATGCCTTTAAGCATGGTTTTGATCAGTTACAGTAGCCCTGCCTTGGACTTTGGCGTGTAATGTGTGGCTTGGGTCCCTCCTGGTTACACTCTGCTAGAGGTCTGTTGGGCTGTCCTTCATACATGGGAGCTTGATGCCTATTGCTTTTTCTGCACACCATGTTTTCTTGGTAATTGGCCTGTTGTTTGGCCTTTGCTAGTCGTTCAGGCAGTGGGCTCTGTAGGACCATGGCTGATGTATGTGGCTGTGGTTGTAGCTGTGACGGTGCTGGCAGACAATGGCTGACCATCATGGTTTATTGATGTTTGGTCGCCCTGCCAGTGTGTCTGGGTTGGGCCTCGGCCTGATGCGGCTTGGTAGGTGGATTCGACAACCTGGAATATCCCGGCTCAGACAAGGATGCCCAAAGTCTTCACTTGGTATTCAGAACATGGTAAGGAGTTTCAATGACACTCAAGTCTCTAGGACGTACGTCAGACACGCTAAAAAGATATGAAAAAGACAACAAGCATATATTTTCAGGGAAGCACGCTCCAACCCTCCTCTCCTTTGCTCTATAAGCTCTGACGGAGACAGCAGTCTCTTTCGAATTAATCGGCATGCCCGGAAAGGTCTTTCGAATCCGTGGTAGCAGCTTCAGAATGATTCCCAATCCGACTAGCGATCACTGACTTAAGAACAACGGTCCGAAAGCTTCATGGAAAATAATATGCCTGATGGAAGTGTTTCAAGACAAATTAAGAGAACTTTCCCTCGCCAAAGACTTGGGACCTGGCCATCCAATCACTGCTATTTCGGACCAGTGGAAAATTATGCAAGGCCATAACCCCACGGACGAAGCCAATCTCGGTATCGAAGTCCGCGAAGCTATCCACAACGCCCTCGACAAAAGGACCGAGTATCTCCTCAGGCTCGGACAATAAGTTGCTTTCAGTGTTCTAGTCGTCCACCTTACCAAGGTCACGGAATCCTGGACGATCCAAACTCGCCGCTCAATTCTATCGCCCTTGGGAATAAAGAGGAGGCTTTACTGAGCTACTACTTCTACCAAGTGCGTCCTGCGGTTATTGGTAACCTGGACTCTGTAGGCAAGCCACTTAGCAAGGATAGCACGGAGCAGAGAAACAATATTTGGGTGTCGTTGATCTTTTGAATGTTGTGTTGGCTTTTGCTGCATGATTTTGATAAAGCGGATGTTAAGGTCGTGCCGTCGGATCTGAAGGGGAGCAGGATGCCTGTGTATATTGGCTGAGACAAAAAATGAAAGACTTATCAACATTATAGAATCGGCGTCACGGAGCGCTTTGGGTCCCGTGACTATAGACAAAGCTGTGGCCTATGCGTGCATACGATGTTTTACTTCATTATTTCTCAGTCCATTAGAAACATTTCTTTTTCGACCACACACGTGACGTCGTCTTTTTCTATAGCACAGCAGCGATACTTGGCCCTTCACGCCTTGCCCAACCCAACAAGCACCAATAGCGCAACATTCATCACAGCAATGACCAACCATATCAGCACCGCAAAAACAGCAGTAATCCAATGATTTCTCATCTTCACACTACCACCATCATCCGTGCTGACAGTCATATATTTGTTGCGGCAAGTGAAGTAAATCAACGGCGCTGACACAAACGGCAAGATGACGCTCAATGCAATCTGCGTGCCATTAAGCGCGGCAGTCAAACCATTCCGTCCCACCGCAGCAGCAATAATGATGCTAGGGGTGATGGATATCGATCGAGTGAGCAAGCGACGCAACCAGGGTGCGAGTTTCCAATTGAGAGCACCTTCGCTGACCATTTGACCTGCGATGGTTGCCACAATCCCTGCCGACGTGCCGCTGAGCAAGAGAGCCAGAGCGAAAATAGTACCGGCAACCGGGGCAATGGTTGAAGATAATAAATCGTGGATGCCGAAGAGGTCTGCGTCTTGCGCCGAAGTGTTGTTTGAGAGGGAGGCGCCGGCGGTAATGAGGATGGAGCTATTAACGAAGAGGGCGAATGTAAAGAGGGCGATCGCTAGCTCGACGATGGAGTAGCCTAGACAGTTGCGTATGGCGGGTAGGGAAGGGCGGTATTTGACGCTGTCTAGGGAGAAAGATGAAGAGTTAGAGGACAGGGCAGGGAGGTGTCCTAACTTAGTATCAAATTCTCGAAGACGTGCTTGGACGACTCCGCTTCCGAGATAGAGACTATGAGGCATGACCGTCGCGCCGAGAATACCACAGCTAAGGTAGAGACTAGGAGAATTGCATGAGTATAGAGCCTACTATCGGCGAATTGGCGACAGGAGTAGAGAACATACCCTTGAGCTTCTACAATAGAAGACGAAGGGATGTAACCTTTGAACACCTCCCCAACCGAAACGCCTTCAATATAAGAGAGTTGAATACAAAAGCAAATGACCACGCCCAGGACCAGCGCCATCACGAAGAACTCAAAACACCGGAGACGCCGCATAGAGCCAGAAGGGTTATAAAAAATGAGAATTACAAGAACATCGACCAGTGTGAGGGCGCATCCTGCAACCAGTGGAACTTTGATCAGAATGTTTAGCGCTATGGCTGAGCCAATCACCTAAAGGAGCTGTAAGTCACAATACTCTAGAGTAGAACGTAAAAGGTGGAGACCGTTACCTCGGCGATATCTGTAGCAATAATAGCGCTCTCGGCCAAGAAGTAGAGCAAGTAGTTGAGCCATCTAGGCAAGTGCGCCCTGCAGTGCTCGGCAAGATTCAAACCGGTAACAGTGCCAAGTTTGATGCACAGCGACTGTAGGAAGATAGCAAAAAGATTGGACATTAGAATAATAAACAGAAGCTTGAACCTGTAGGTAGAGCCAGCCGCGACATCAGTCGAGTAGTTGCCAGGATCAATATATGCCACTGCTATCATGAAACCTGAGCGTTGAGGGCAGTAGTCAGCTTGATAGCCCGGGTCACCACATCAGCGTTTTTGAGAACGGACCGGGTCCAATAAAACCACCGAATTTCAGGACGGCTTGCCACACCCTCTGAGCCACGCCTGCACGGTGATTCGGATGGTCGCGGGGAACATTGGAAACGACTGGTGCCTGATTGTCGGATCCATCGTCAGGTCTTTTCTTACCAGCGTCAGCCGAGGCCTCCTTGCCTCCAGCACTGCCTGGCGTACCCCACCTTAGTCGACCGAATTTTTCGGCATCATGTTTGCTATCGGCGGCGAACTCCCCGCGATCGTCTGGCTCGATATTTTGGTTGTCGCGACGGTCCCTCGCATTGACAATGCCGTTCAGGTCTGCGCGAGTTGTTGTGTCTCCAGACAGGCTCGAGGGGTTCTGGTTCCAGCCATCATGGTCAAGTACCTCGTCAACTCTTGAAGGACAATTCATAGTATCGGTTCGGTTCCTGGATGTCTTGTTTCGTGAGGAGGCCCTTCTTCATAAGTAAGACTACATGCGGTTAAAGTGCGGGAGAATAACAAGACCTTCACCGGAACTGGGAAGGTGCACACCGCCTTCTGGCGTTCTTGGCTTCGGGAATGGAGCATCCGGGGAAGGTGGGATGTGGGTTGCTCCGTGATTTTCCGGTGGCTCGGAACAAGTCGCCCATCTTTGGTTGGCAATCGACGATTACTGTACTCGTACATGGTACTCGAGTAGCTGAAATGCAGACTTGCTTGAAGATGATTCGTCCCGAGCTTTGTACTCGAGTACTCGAGCCCCCCGGTTTCTCTCCTCCTGCAGGAGACCCTCAAATCATGGTTCAGAGTCTCCACACCTCCGTGCAAGCTGCAGACAAATGGCAGGTGAGATATTGGCACTTTCTCACCGACTAGCTGTATCGCTATCGTGCAACTGCGGGAATCACGGTTAGCATCAGCTGATAGTATTAGGGTTAATTGTCATTGGCATCTTTACAGTTTTTTGTTGAGTCTAATGTCTGTCCTTGTTCCCCTTCCCTCCTGGTGAGATCTGATCTACCAAGATGAGACGCTCGTTGTCTGCTAAAAGCACGTCAACACTAGTCTACCTCCTTGCGCCTGAGGCAGAAAGGGCTTTTTGGTTGAAAAGTAGAAAGTAAAGAGGGCATCCACCTATTCGCCTTTCTGAACCGTTTCAATCTGCACCAGTCATCAAATCGTTATGTCAACGTCTTCAAATTCAGAAGTGAGTACGGCGGTCTCTCCTGGCATGCGCCAGAGGACCTGCCTCCGCGTTGCCTGCGTAACCCCTCTACGAGAGATCAAATGTTGCGATGGTACATTCTTCTATCGAGTTTCCCTGACGTCTTGCTAACTCCGCCAGACACTTGCCTGGTCGAAATTGCACGTCGCGACTGCAGTAGTGAGCCGAATCATAAGCAGCAAGCTGACACGAAACCTTCCCACGATCTTCTCAACGATTCTGCCATCCCGTCCCGAGCTGACGAGGGGCCATGTCAAAGTCACTACCTCAAGGCCAAGGAGGCGTATAGCGCCATCTTGGACAATATGGGCTGTATCTGCAAGGTGTTGCTATCATTGAACCTCGATTCGTGCTGTGTCGCTCTCCCGGCTGGCTCTCTTCGCTCTAAGCGCTCGACAAGGTCTACGAGCAAAGGTCTCTTCGCAGATATGGGCATGCTATCGAGCACTCGTTCTCTCTGCAAGCCACAGGAAGGTGCCGATTGCAGCAAAGATGCCTGCTGCTCCGATGCGTCTTCTATTCACCCGAAGGAAGGTGCGATGTCAGGAGGGATGTGCAATGATGCCAACGGGGCTAGTTGCTGTAATCGTGAACCTTCGAAAACCAGCATCGATCAGTATCCCGGAACTTCAGTCGCCAAACTTGACGGTAGTCGCAAGGCGGGTTGTGGCATCAAGACCGCCCATGCGGCAGCTCCTAGTGACCACCACAACCTAGAAATGGACTCTGGCAGTGGTATCGACAGCTGCTGGTCTGGTAACCCAGACCTGGCCGCCCTTCCATCAAAGCTTGAAGATTGTTCTAGCAAGGAGTGCTGTTCCGATAATATGTCAGAACCTGCAACCGGACAGACGATCAGGGAAGTCCATGGCAATCCAATCGACAACTGTTGTGCTGATGGGGGAGCCTGTGCAGATGCCATATCGGACAGTTGTTACACCAGCAATCTACTAGGAACAGGAGCAGGCAGCAAGGGGACCAGGTATACTCAATCCGCCGGAACCAATGAGTTTGACCTAGAGAAGGGCGACTCCCCGGTTGAGCATGTGGTGTTGAGTATTCAGGGTATGACTTGTACTGGGTGCGAGAAAAAGCTCCGCAAATCGCTAGACATGATCCCAGAAATTTCGAATGTCAAGACCAGTCTACTTTTGGCCCAAGCAGAGTTTGACCTTAGCAGGTCCTCCGCCGCTGTCGACGTCCTCAACACCATCAAGGCTATTGAGAAGATGACTGGCTTTACCTGCACGAAGATGACGCAGTCTGGACACGAGCTGGATCTGATCGTGGATGGCCTTGCATCGGAGTTTGCTGCTAAAGACCTGCCACCTGGAGTTTCCAACATCGCCGTTCTCGACACACGTACTATTCGTGTAACCTACCACCCGAAGCTTGTTGGTGCCAGGGACCTGATGTCATACCCGTACTTTCAATCACCGAAACTCGCCCCGGCTGCAGATCGTCCTCTGATCGCTTCTGGCAGAGCTCATGTCCGCCTAATGCTCTTCAAAACGATTGTGTCCACTGTGTTGACTCTCCCTGTCCTTGTTATGGCCTGGGCTCCTATTCCGGAGCACGAGGCCATTTACGGAGCAGTCTCATTCGTCCTTGCTACCATCGTTCAAGTTTACATTGCTGGACCCTGGTACATCAGTGCTTTCAAAGCTCTTTTCTTCTCGCGCTTAATCGAGATGGATCTACTCGTTGTCTTGAGCACTACTACAGCTTACATTTATTCGATCATCGCATATGCCTTTCTCGTCTCGGAGAAGCCCCTATCGACGGGAAGCTTCTTTGAGACGAGCACTCTACTTGTCACCCTTATCATGGTCGGACGTCTTGTCAGTGGCTTTGCACGCCAGCGAGCCGTAGAGTCAATCTCTATTGAGTCACTCCAGTCATCGACTGCAGTCCTCACAGATCCCAAGACTCATGAAGAACAAGAGATCGACGCGCGCCTTCTCCAGTATCAAGACATCTTTAAGGCTTTACCTGATACGTCTATCGCTACAGATGGCACCGTTATCGCTGGCACATCAGAGGTTGACGAGTCTATGATCACAGGCGAGGCTACCTTGGTTGCTAAGAAGCCTGGTTCTCCGGTGGTTGCCGGCTCAATCAACCATTCTGGCACCCTGACCATCCGGCTTTCGCGTCTCCCGGGCGAAAACACCATCAAAGCCATTAGGCTAATGGTAGATGAGGCGAAATCATCGAAGACCAAGATTCAGGAAATGGCAGATCGTGTGGCGACCTACTTCATCCCTGTCATACTCGTTGTCACCGTTCTGGTATTCGTAGTTTGGGTTGCTGTTGGTAAAGTCATCCGTGGTTATGATGCCACTACCACCTGCATCAATGCCATGACATACGCCATCTCGGCTCTTATCGTTTCCTGTCCCTGCGCAATCAGCCTGGCGGTTCCAATGGTGCTTGTGGTAGCAGGAGGTGTCGCGGCCAAGCACGGCTTGATCTTCAAAACCGCAGAGACGATTGAGATAGCCCGGAACCTTTCTCACGTCATCTTCGACAAGACAGGGACCCTCACACAAGGCTTACTTGCGGTCGAGGCTGAGATATACCCGACTAAGCAGGGCGACATACTGGGTCCAATGCTTCTTGGACTAACGAACAGCAGCAAGCATCCTGTGTCTACTGCTATCGCTACTCACCTCAAGTCCTCTGGAGTCCAGCCTGAGAAGGTCGAGAAGGTCGTCTCTATCGCCGGGAGTGGTATGGAAGCAAGCTGGAACGGAGGCATCATTCGTGCTGGCAATCCACATTGGCTAGGCGTCGAGGACTCACCAAGCGTTAAAGAAACACTCCTACTCGGCGTCAGCATGTTCTGTGTTTTGGTAAACGGAGAGCTCGTTGCGGTCTTTGGTCTGAAGGATCTCCTTCGCCCAGATGCTATCCAAGTCATCAATGAGCTGAAGAAGCGGTCCGTCGAAATCTCTATTGTTAGTGGCGACAATCAAGAATCTGTCAAGTCTGTCGCCAGTGCCCTTGATGTCCCAGAAAGCCATGTCCGCTTCCGATGCAGCCCAGCCGACAAGCAGATGTACGTCAAAGAGATGCTCGCCCCTCCAACAAGCGTCGTTATGTTCTGTGGTGACGGCACCAACGACGCTGTGGCCCTTGCGCAGGCAAGCATTGGTATGCATATCGACGGAGGTACAGACATCGCTCAAAGCGCTGCAGATGCTGTTCTTGTCCGACCAGCGCTGAGCGGCATCATCATCCTTATGGATCTCTCGAAGGCGTTCTTCCGCCGTGTTGTCTTCAACTTTTCGTGGTCCTTCATCTACAATACCTTTGCCATCCTGCTGGCTGCTGGGGCCTTTCCAAATGCCCGCATCGCCCCAGAATTCGCTGGCCTGGGTGAGATAGTCAGTGTTCTACCGGTAATTGTTATTGGGATGCAATTGAAGTGGGCTAAATTCCACTAGCCTGAGTGAGGTTTGATTTGATGCGGTTAGCTCGAAGACTAGCATCTTAACATGCCCGGTCAACATGTCCAGATTGGGAATGGTTCTCCAAAGGGTTCTAAGGACATGCACAGCTGGTTACAATACTACCTCCTTCTGTAAATACAAAGAAAATAATCGATTGGTTGATACGCTTATGTACTACCATGCATATAATCCCGTTCAGTGCTTCTGAGTTCAACAGACAAGTACTCGACAGACTGAGTTACGCGAAGTCACTATTATAAAGTACTAGGACAAAAGGGATCGTCCGATGCCCTTTTTACATCAAAAGTGCCCATCTTGACCACCCTCTCTCATCACGCAATGTCTATGAGAACCTGTGCAAATTTGTCCATGCATTAATAAACCTGTAGATAACATGAAAAATATCACAGAATCCTTAAATATTATAAAGTGATGGAGAGAAGGTTATTCAAGTTTCTGGTATCGGTTGCCATGTACTTTTTTGTATGGAGCCCCCCCATACAAAAATTTAGGTCACTTTCATGCTGGTTGATGCAATCATGAACAATGAAGACAGCTTTGATTCCTTACACTTCTACTTGTAGAGATTGGAATAGATGGTCATTCCCTAGCTGATGAAATGATTTGAAGTGCTTTCATATAAGCAGTGTTGAGAATTGTCCGTTTAAAAATGTCCATTTTTGGTGTGAAAAGGGCATCGGACGATCCCTTTTGTCCCCGTACTGTACTCGCAGAAGCGGAAAATTCAAGGTTAATGGGTGAGGTCAACAAGTTGAAGGATACTGCTGCGGGCAGAGTCAACACTTGAGCGAGATGCTGAAGAGGCCGCGAACCGGCTCACAGCGATGCTGCATAAGTTACAGCAGAATTAGAAAACCAGCACTTAAAGAGGGATATTCAAGAATGGAATGGGCTACCACCGTATAGCAGAAGATTTTAGAGTGAGCACTGCAGATTCCCACCAGATTGTGAATGAGGCGTCTTTGGTATTAGAAAGGTTAAAATAAAATCCTCACTGCCTTCTATTTATATGTGATTCTTCAAGATTAAGAAACCTGGCGAATTCACTGTGCTGCTGGTCCTCGCTTAAGTTGCCACTCAAATCTACAGAAGTAAAAGTGACCGTTCTACTGGACATGCGCATATCTCATTGCTTATACACACGATCTCACCTAAGAGACAGGGGGGGAACAAAGACAAGGGGCAGAGACGAGGGGCAGAAAATGGTGCGGAAAGTTAATGTCCAATAGTCGTGCCCCGAAAGTTCCATTCTTGGTCTGAACTCAGGTACCCCATCCAGGGCAATTCTAATTATATCATATCCGGATCGACGAGGAGCCGCATCGGTGCCCCAATCGTCCAATAGAGATACTGTATGGTGAGGGACGTCTGTAGCCGGAGCAGGCGGACATTCATCACGGCTTAGCAATAGTAAGTTAATATGCCAAGCAGCAGACTTAATAGAGGTTATCATCCGGCAAACATCCATTAACTGACTGTGCCAAGAAAGTTAACAGAAATTAACATGCTTCAGACATTCCCCAAAAGTTTACCTAGTTTTAAACCCTTATAACTCCATGAAAACTTGTGGTATTTTCATTTTCTCTCTATTAATGTGTAGAGGACCTCCTACTGTATCATCTAATAGAGCTATAATTCTCACCAGAGTGGTTGTTGAAACGCCTTTGCAGCTCGAAGTTGAGCAATAATTTCTTGGCAAATTACTCCGGTTACAGAAGTCCCTCACCATAGGGTCCAAGTGACTCCCCTGCCTCTTTCCAATTATAGTCTTGGGGATCGACAGGAATCGACAGGGGCCCCGCAACCCCGTTCAATAGCGAGAGTCAGAGACGCTGCTATAGTATGATATGATCCCCTATATACAAGCTTACCCTAAAAACATTTTCTTTCTTAATGGGTTGATCTCAAACCCTTTGAATCCCACGATAACGAGCGGGTCGCTTCAACTAGATTTCGAAACCCATCATCTGTAAGCACAAGTCCGGCCCTAACCCATTTGACGATACTCCGTTCCCTGCAGTCCCACCCATCGATTCAATCATGGATTCTGTTACGTCTCGAAGCGTGTTTCCTACGCCTAAAGTGGTTTCAGCTAGGCAATCCACCAGAATGGTGCCACTGGCAACGGGACGTGGCGTCCATTTGATCACTACGTGCTGTGTTGAACGGGCCCCACCTCGAGAATGAGCGTCTCTGAAATTTACAAATGGCTTGCTGAAAAGTATACAAGCTACCTATATACAAAACGTAAGATTCGCCATGTTCCAAGACATGATTCGGAGAGAGAGCGAGTCCTAGATTTGTTATTGCTAACAGAAATCGTGAGGGGCCACGGGAGTGCCAATTCGATGGACTATTCGGCCTGGAACAGAGGCTCAACTCCGCCGATTGTTCAGTGGCCCTCCCCCTGCCGAGCCTCAGTTTCCCCAATCCTACGACAGCCTTCCTCAATTAATTCACTGCCTTCTTTGCAACCGACGGTTTGACAAGAAGCCCTACAAGGCCCATGGAATCAGGCCGAGGTAACTCCCGATGGCGGTCACATTGGATATGATGCTAGGCAGGGGAATTATGTGGGCTGTGGCTATAGAGGTGAACGCGGAAGTAGGGAGAGGTCAGCGTGTGGCCTTGAAGGTGGACACGGAAATATATGGAAGCACGGGAATTACGGAGGAGAGCATCGTGGTTAGAGAGCGGACAGAGGGCATAGAGGGGGGCGTGGGAACGGAGGATACGGCGGATATCAAGGAGGACAACACAGGAATGAAGGCAGCAAATATTTCTAACGAAAGCAAATATTGTCACATATAAAACCATTTGCCACAGTCCTTACTACCTGTTCGTACACCGTTTAGAGTACCCCTATTAGATTCCCCATAATCTCATCATGGTGTTATGATGGTATGATTGGACTCCCAGACCCCGCCTCACTCCTTCCCTGCTCTGCCTCCCTGACCGCTCTAAAACCGACCACCGGGATGCCTGTCCTCATAACCAAACTCGAGCAGATGACGCTCAGAGAACTCATTGCCATGGCCAAACTCGCCCACACAGGGTTCAGTCTTGGGTGTCCATGCACTGGGTAAATCACCCCTGCCGCGATCGGCATCAACACCACGTTGTACACCAATGCCCACGCAAAGTTGAACTTGACTCTCCGGAAAACGGTGCGCGAGAGCGTGATGAGAGTCAACAGGGAGTGCAAGTCTGACGACACTAGTACGAACTTGGCACTTGAGATAGCAACATCTGAGCCGGAGCCGATAGCGATCCCTGCATCTGCAGCAGTGAGGGCCGGAGAGTCGTTGATGCCATCTCCGACCATCGCCACGATCGCTCTCCCAGTCTCGCCGTTGCGTTTAGGGGCGGAAGATTGTAGCCAGCGGATCTTGTCAGCCTTCTCCGAGGGAAGAACGCCGGCAATGATATTGCTAGCTGGGAGGCCAAGTTGATACCCCACGGCCGTGGCGGTTGTAGCGTTGTCACCTGTGATCATCCAGATGCTCAACCCTTGTTTGTGTAGAGCAGAAAGCACGGAAGAAGCTTCAGGGCGGAGCGGGTCTGTGGTAGCAAACTGTGCAGCAAGTTTGAAAGCTGCCTCCGCCCCGTCTGAGAGGGACAGAGGACGCAGTGCCAGCAGAGCGACGCTTTTCCCAGCGGTTTTCCATGCGGACGCCGTGTTGGACCAGCGAGTGTCTATCGGAGTGCCAAGGAAGGAGATGAAAGTTTCACTGCCGATGGCAGCTTCGTACCTAGTGTCGCTAGTCGACGTGTGGATGGTAAATGTGCCTTTGAGACCGCGACCGGGTAGTTCTTCGATAGTAGAGTTGATGATGGTAGCACGGTTTTGTTCGGCACAGAGCGCGGCAATCGCTTTAGCTATGGGGTGACTTGAGGACTCTTCGAGCGCTTGCGCGATTGCCCAGATGACCTTTGTCTCCTCTTCACTCGAAGCCATGATATCATGGTTTGTAACACTTGGGTTTCCGCCCTCGGTCAGCGTGCCGGTCTTATCAAAGACAACCACGTCTAGAGCAGAAGCCTCTTGAAACGCCTCTCCGCCCCCCTTAACCAATATTCCGTGCTGAGCCGCCAGTCCAGAACCTACAAATAATGCTGTTGGAGCCGCTAGTGCAATGCCGCAAGGGCAAGCGGCGACAAAGACTGTAATGGCAAACTGCAATGCCCAGAATGCCCAGCCGCCGGTATCAACATCTCGCCAACTCTCCGGCAGTACCCCGCCCTGGCCAAGTCCAAACCAGATAACAAACGTCAATATAGCAATGAGGGTGATGACAGGAACGAAGTATCCCGTCAAGATATCAGCAAATCTCTCCACCGGCGCTCGTTTTGTCTGGCCTTCACGAACAACTTTGATGATTTGATCAAGCATTGACGCGCCTGAGATTTCGGTGACTCTGACGCTGATCGGTCTACCGGTGTTGACTGTTCCCGCAAAGACTTGATCGCCAGCATTCTTGGTGATAGGGCGAGACTCTCCGGTCAAAGAGCTCTCGTCAAACGTGGACTCGCCCAAGACGACTATGCCGTCGGCCGGTGGAGACGCGCCACGGAGAACTCGAACCACATCCCCGACTTCAAGAAGGTCGGCATTAATTTTCGCAACGTCGGTCGTGGGAAGAGATAACTGGCTATCCTCCGAGTCTGGGTTGGATCTCACAAGCAGAGCTTCCGTTGATCTGAGCTTTCCAAGCATCGTGACAGCATCGCCAGTCTTAGCTTTGCTATACGCTTCCAAATAACGGCCAGCAAGGATGAACATCGTCAAGAACACAACTGCGTCGAAGTACGTCGATAGCTTCCCGTTGGGCTCTCCACTCTTTCGCGAATCCAGAGCAAGCACAGCGATCGAAGGGAAGTACGCCACGGATGTACCAGCCGACATGAGCAAATTCATGCTGCCAAAATGGTAGAATCTTCGGAGAATTGGGACCTTGCTATTCTGCCCCCACAATGCTTGGATTTCCTTGATCGCTCTGATGTGGAAGACATCGGCTGCGAGGAACATCACAGGCGTCGCAAGGAAGAAAAGCGCCCACTCGGCACGGCTGTCAGCACCGGCCCACATCTTTCCTTGGAAGAATATTCGTACGCGGTTCGTAGAGGGAACTAGGCTCATCCAGACTACGCCGATGAGGAAGGTTGGAATAGCGACGATGGAGCTGAGGAGAAGCCGCAGGAGTAGACGACGACGTTCGCGGAGCTGCATAGCTCGGGACCGCTCTTCGATCGTTGGAGGATGGTATATTGTGGCCTTCAATTGGTCGCTAACGCCGTGAATGGTGGCCAGTATGTCTCTGATAGTAATGATGCCGTGTTGAGGATGATATATGACTACCGTGATGGGATCCTGGTGCGATGGTGGTTTGTCGACAGTGAGAAGCCCCGGGAAAGATGATGATAAAGCTTCGAGGACCCGTTGTGGGCAGTGATCGCAGAACATGCCAGCTATGCTGATCATGACTGTCCTCTCCGCTTGCTCGTCGCCGCCTTCCTGTAGTCCACCAACCTCAACAATGCTCTCGACGTGACAGCCGTATCCTCTGTCCTCGATTCTCTCAACAATCTGATCGATGTTATCTCTTGGACCGGTAAAGGCGACGGTTGCGCTATTCGTAAGTAGACTGACACTAACATCCTCCAAGAATTCGAGTTCCTGCACTCCCTCGTTGATGGAGAGGATGCATGCTGCGCAAGTCATGCCGGCAATGCTAAGGGTGGCTGTGAACTTTTGGACCTCAGGGATAGCTACTACAAAGTCCTCGGATATCTCGACTTTCTCGTTTGACTTTTGACAAGTAACACAGTACTCCATATGCTTCTCATTGAGTCGTTGGTTGGCATCGCCGAGAAATCCCGGGTGTGCTGTCGTCTGCCGCCATGAGAGTGTTGATGTTTGTCCGCTCAGCGTCTGCGCGGCCTGTCCCAACCATTCTTGGTGAACCTGGACCACATCTTGCTCGTAGGTAAGATGGCCGAATTCGTCCTCGGTCCGCACACGCTGGACCTCGAAGGCTGCATCTGATAAAGCTCGAGATATGTCATCTGCAGAGTGCTCGGGAAGATGGACGATCACAAGCTCGTGTGATACATAGTTCGCAGTAGTCGATAGCGGCGCTGGCTGCAATGTACTGAGGACCTCCTGGATGTAGGAGAGGCATGAGGCACAGTGGATGTTGTTGATCAGGACTGTTGTGGTGACATGGCCTGCGGGCGGCGGCTGTGCCATTTGGTTCCAAGTCTTTTTTCCGTCTTGGCTTGAGGATGCGAGAAGTGGTGCGATGTGCGGTGGGGATGAGTAGGCGGTGGGCAAATATTCATTTATGGAAGAGCGAATATCGTGAATAATCGCTTGGCAAAGATGATGACAATGGAGATACTCGGCGATCTCTTGTGTATTTAGAAGAGCTGAATCTGCTAGTAGTACGATCACAGAGCGATTGCAATTCCTTATCGAAGTGCGAGTTTTGTGGCGTTGTGGTGCACGTCCCAGCACACCTCATAACTCCACTAGAATCCCGCAGAAATCGCGCGACATTGATGAGGAAGGAGCTCTCTGTTTGGCTAGACACTGGGAAAGATGCTGTATGGCGGTTTGGCTCACTCACAGCTCAGGCAATACGGTAGCAGCAACAGCTCAGGTCCAAAGACGGAAATGGAAAATGCTCATGTCGAGATTCCGATATCGAACTACCTGTTACAGTGCCATAGGATTGACTCCCGATTTGGATGGACGAGTGAGGGTGTGTGATTGGAGTGATGGTGATGGTATTGATGAGGATGAGGATGCTCTATGGTCTAGTCTAGGTGATAGCGGTATATGTACTGTACATGAATGAGTTTAGCCCTGGAAGGGCCGGAGGGGGAAACGGTTATCGATAGAATTTATCTGGGTCGCCTTCGTCGGCTATATCTTCGTCCTGTATGAGTACTACGTTCTTCTTGACGTTCGGCTTCTTTGCATTCTCCTTCGTCCGCGTCGATGTATCCCTTCCCCCCTCCTCCTTAGAACTCCCCTCTCCACCCCCATCTGCAAAGAAATCCTCCAACTCCCCCGCACCCCCGCTCTCATCAATTCTAACCTCCTCCAACCCCACCCCATCCTTCCTCTTCTTCCTCCTCTCAGCCCACGCATCCATATCCTCCCTTTGCCCCTCCAGCACAACCCCCAACCTCTCAACCCCAAACTCCCTCAACCGCCTCTCGAGCCCCTCCTTGTAGAGATCAACCTCAGCCCTCCTCTCGCGCGCATACCTCTCGAATTCAGCATCCTCCCGCGCCTCCACCCTTGCCACCTCCTCCTCCCGGGCACGCCGCACCTCCTCGGCCACCATCTTCTCCAGGTCCAGCAATTGTGCGTGTATGGCGGTCGCACGGGCAGTTGCGTCGGCGAGGTGGGACTGCAGCGTTGGCAGCGGTGGAAGCGCGCTCAGCTCCGCTTGCGTGTCCGAGAGGCGTGTGGATATTTGCGTTAGGAGGGTTTTTGCGTGTGCGGCTTTGGCGCAGGTGGACTTTGAGAGGGGCGGGAGGAGGGTTCGGGGGTGGGTTGCTAGGTATGAGGTTGTCTTCGGGAGCTGGTCGGCCCTGTTTTGTAGGTTTGTTAGTGGTGCTAGCCAGAGTGTGGGGGGGGGGGGGCAACGGACATTTCTGTTGTCAATTCAACACCTCCGCTGTCATCATCGGAGCCTTCAGAGGCAGTAGCAGCATTACCGACCACGTTTAAACGCTGAACAAGTTTGTGGATGACGTCCATAGCTTTGGTAGTCCCGGAAGCGCGGGTTCGGGAGGTTAAGGTGTTGCTAGAGGCGGGGGGATTTTTAGCGGGGAAGATCAGGAGGGTTGGTGGGAGTGACGGTGGGGGTCGTTGTATTCCGACGTCGTTGGTTGGTTGTTGCCCCACTTCCACATCCACCACCGCTTCAACGTCAGACAATGGTGACGATGGAGATGAAAATGACGATGTGGATGGCGATGAAGACGCCAATTTTGGCGACGAGGAGAAGGAGCGGATATTCCAAAGATTAGGAATTCAAGACAGGCACGGAATCACCATCATTACCCTCAACACTCCCGGCATAGGCACACACAACGGCAGAAAGACAAACCCGTCCGAAAACCCTCTCCAAACCACAATAACCACCTTCCTTACCGCCAACCCCCCAGAAGACCCCACAATCCTGCCAACCCTCCTCTCCGCGCTCCCAAAACGCTATACCTACACCCCTCCCCTACTCCTCCTGCCATCAGCCACCTTCTCCACTCCCACCTGGCAATCCTATCTTGGTTCCCTCCCCCACGAGCTCCGGCAGAAACTCTACTCCAATCTCATCGCCGCTGTCTGCGAAAACGCGACCCACCTCGCGCTCCTCCGTCCCATACCCACGCAGGACAACACAATACGAGCTCCAAAGCTAACCCCCCTCTATGGCAATTTCCCACCCCTCCTGCCGCCGCAGCAACTGCCCACGCGCAGTGAGTTGGACGAGGCACTGTGGACGAGCGCACGACAGTCTGGGATCGTCCAGATCTGGGCGCCGGGGTACACCATGTTTTCGCGGGGGAACATTAAAGAGAAAGCTCGTATCCTACGTTTTCCCCCTCCCGCGGCGGGGGCGGAGACGAAGTGGGTGGTGGATATGTACGCCGGCATCGGGTACTTTACCTTCTCCTACGCAAAGCTTGGATACCGAGTCCTCGCCTGGGAGATTAACCACTGGAGCGTGGAGGGGTTGCTGAGGGGTGCTGGGGAGAATGGGGTCCCAGCTAGGGTCATTTTGCCACACCAGGATGTGCGGGTCGCGGCGGAGCGGGAGCAGGAGGGGGTGGTGGTATTTTTTGAGGACAACAAGAACGCGCCGGCCAGGATCGCGGGAATGGGGGAGGGGCTCAGGGGGGGTATCGAGAGGGTTAATCTTGGCTTGCTGCCTACCAGTCGGGGTTCCTGGCGGGAAGCTGTTCGGGCGTTGGCGGAGCAGGGTGGGTGGGTGCACGTTCACGAGAATGTGGGGATCGGGGAGATTGATGGGATGGCGGGTCAAGTGGTCAGGGCCTTCGAAGGGTTCGAGAAGGAGAGGGGAGGTGGGAGGAAGATTGTTTGCGAGCACGTTGAAAGGGTCAAGACGTTTGCTCCCGGTGTCATGCATTGCGTTTTCGATATTCGCATCGGCGGGGAGGGATTGTAGACGGTGCGTATATGCAGGGGGGAGGGGGGAGTATTTCTTGTACTGGTACAGCATAGGTATTAGGTATTATTATTATATATTACCACTAAGCTATAAATAACCAGCCGATCAACTAACTAAGAAGACCATAACCTCAGACTCCCGTTTATAGATGCATCTTTTATACATACACACAAGCCAGCCCCCATGCACGTCCAACATACCATATCAAGCCCCGTCCACCAAGAACTTTCTCGGAATGTTCTGCTCAATGATGGGCTTCATGTCGAGAACAGCCTGTCTCTCCTCCGCCTCATGGTCTTGATCATGCTTCCGGAACTAGATGGAACCCAAATCAGCCCTAATAAATCAAACCCAAAGATTCGAACGAGTGCAACCCATACATGCTCAATATCCTCGGGATGCGTCAGTTCCTCCTCGGTAGTCTCCTCGTTATGATACTTTTCGAAATGGTGAATCTCATACTCGTACTCATCATCACCATGATGTCCAGGTCCCAACTATATCCACCCCCACAACGATCAGCTTGTCAGTCCACACACACACACACACACACACACACACACGGGTGATCCCCCCCCCCCAAAGAAAGAGAGAAGCATTTCACAAACCCCGAAATCCGGCAAGGTATTCCCACCACTGCTAAACGACTGGAACTCCTCCATTGAAATCTTCCCATCATGGTCAAAGTCCATGGAGGAGAGGATCGTTTCCCAGACGTGCGATCTCGTCTCCTCGCTGAAGGAGGTGTGGGTGTCCGGCTGACTCAGGCCGTAGAAGCGTAGGACCTCATCGCGCGTCCAGGTGCCGGACGAGTCGAAATCGTGGAGGGTGAAGAATGCGCCGGGGTCGAAGTTGTTGATGTGGTGCTCCTGCTCCAGGTGCTGTTCCGCCCAGGTTTTCGGTTGGTCTGGGGGCTCGGCCGTGTGGGCTGTGGTTAGGAGGAGGAAGGGAAGGAGGAGGAGGAGGGTTGGCTTGAGCATCTTTTTCGGGATTGTGGTGGTGAGTTTGCGAAGGGGGTGCAGTGCACAGTACGGTAAAGCACTGAACTGAACTCCTGCGATACGGGCACCAGTACCAGTATTATTGAACGCGAAATACAAGTACGGCAGTGTACCGTAAATTGAACCGCGATGGGCACAGCAAGTCACAGTAAATTCCTCTTCTCTAGAATAGGGGGCTAAAAAAGGTGAATAGGTGAATAGGTGTTCGTCTCGCTCAGCCCCCCCCCGTTAGGGAGAGAGAGATAAGGGGTCAAGAAAAGAAAAAAAAATGAAGAAAAAAAAATGAAAAAATAAAAGTCCTTCCTTACCAGAGGAGAAGCTTTACTCGAACGTCATGTCACAAGATTTCCATTGGCGCCTTTGTGCCCTACCGATGCAGATGGTAATCTCCCACAAGGGACAAAATCAGCTTAGTCATTGAGGGAATCCACTACGGTACCGTACTGTGGTTTGTGGCCGGCTTGAACATTGTTGCCACCGCCTCCATTTGAACCCTCGCGAGCCAATGAAAAGAGATAAATTCAATGATCAGCCCGGGGAGTTGTGTTCGCTATGGCAGCTCTCTCGCCTCGGCCCATCGTCAGCTGCATGGGAAAGATCTTTGCCCAGGAGAGAAATAACGATATCTGGAGAGTATACTTCCTTAATTAGTCACAAATTACTTACCGTACTCGAGTCCGTCCCAAGCTGAGAAGAGACCTTGGACCGTCCCCACAAAATCTCTCGGAAGGAATGACGGACCGCTGGTTTGTTTGCACAACCGGCATAGGATCTCCGGTTAAGCATTTGGTTGTGGCGCTGGTATAATATGTGTTATATGATACGGTACGAGGGAGATTCAAAGCTCTCAGTACGCTGAGAACCGAGTACACGGTATACCCCACAAATACCGGTACAGGTGCACTGCTTGAATAAAATGACCATACCATACCTCCGTATTGGTATGCTGCATCCCTCCTTCCGAGGAGGTTTTGCTGTGTACCATAATTTCCAAAAAAAAAAAATACACCTCTACCGAAACACCGTGCCTTCCGCGCACCGAGAGCTTTGAATCTTCCTACTTGCCGCCTTCCAGAGCACGATACCGGTACCGTACCGTACGAGCACGACAGGGAAATCCGGGGAACAGCTTGACAGCGCATGCAGGGGCAAAGTTATTTCCTGTATTAATGCACTGGTACTTTTTACCTATCCCGAAGAGGGAGGGCGTAAAGAATATGATAGCGCCAAACCCTTTTCTTCGGGTCTTTGACTCTTTGTATCATGATACTTTCCCGAATCTCTTCTTCTTGGTATTCTTGCGCTATGAATCTTACTGTATGATACAGTTAAATTTAACCGTTGCTATCATACGGTAGATCCAGACCTGGCCCGTCCGGCTACGAATTTGACCCTTCTGGAAGGCGCGAAGGGGTGTGGCCGAGACTGCCGATCGATTGCTCGCGCTGGTTCGCAGCGGCTTGGTTAATAGTCTGCCGGTAACTACCGTACCGTACCGTACCCTGATGGGCGGTTGGGAGCGTTGATCTGTCATACTCAATTAAATCTTGGTGGTGACTTTCGCCAAGATATCACTTGATTTGGTTGATTAGCGTTAGCTTTGATTGTGTCAATGTTGCTAGCTCCCACAAGAATAACGGGTGGAAATTTCTTTAACCCGTTTCATGATTCTCTAGAAATCATGGGGTAAACGCTCCTATGGAAGCTTTTGAGCTTGGGTGCTATGGTTGTCGAGCTACCGTAATTTAGGGGTAGTTTGGAGTGGCCATCCCTTATCCTGTATTCTCGTTCAGGCACTTTTAGCTTTGTACCGACATGGTGATCAGCGATAGCTAGGGCCAGAATAAGGACAGCGGGATCTGTATCCCCTGAAGCCGCGGAAAAATTCAACCCCCATTTAAAATCTTGAGCGCTAGCCTATCCAAGTAATCGTGACAGGAAAAACCTTGTGGGATACAGATGTTGTAGTGCTCAGAATATCGCAAAGTTCATAAAACACAGCATGGCCATGACAGAAAGAGAGGGTCTGCGTAAACTTAATCCCAATGGATTAAACAGGCTAGTGTTTTCCACTCTACACCAGGCTAAATGTCTAAGTTGTTTCGAAGGATACTCTTTCCAGCTACTTCCTCGCTTATCACTTCTGCCACAGCTAGTGGAGCCTTAGCACCAGTGTTTGAATACAGGCAAAGGGATATCTGAGCATGGTCCGGGTTGATATGCATTGTCCATCACTCGTATATGCATAAAGTGGTAACTGACCACGACAGATGCACCAACCACTCCAGAAAGGTACGGAGCGAGAGGCAACGAAATGGATAGCGGTAGCACAACACTCAAAGAAAAGAGCCAACAATACCGGTACCATAGGGTCGGGGGGGGGTACAAGTTGTTTGATCTGCATCCTGAACGTGTCCTTTGACGTTTTCACAGCAATCCAATCTTTCGGCTACGGCCGCGGATGTGGTTTGGCGATAGCTAGGGCTCAATTTCCGCACACGTGACTTGTCAATTGGACCACTGTTGAGTTTTTTCGGGTTTTAATGTGCAGCACGATGGTACAATTTACCGTTCCTCGGTGGTGGAAATACGAGATCACCAACACCTTCTTGCCCGTGGGCAATAGGAGCACTGGGCTCAGGCATCGGCAGCGCCGATAGTGGTACCAGTATTCCCATTCGGGGTGCACAGTGGTTTCCCAACATTCCATACCGACCTACAGTACCGACTTGCCGTCCTCAACGAGGGCACGACGAAAAGCGGCGGATGAAAAACAGACAAGAAATTCGACAGGGGAGAAGGTGGATTCGTCGGGGTGGGGCAACGGAAAGAGCATCCTCTACTAATCCCTGCTGTTGACCTGCCGGTTTTAGTCTTTCCCCCGTTGAAGACCTGTAGCCTGCGGCACAGCGGGAGTACTTGTACGACCAGCGTTACGCGCCTCGGGCCAACGGTGGGGCTGCAGTTGCGAACTTGCGATGGGCCACCCCTTGGAAGGAGGCCGGCGGGCTTGCGGTCCTCAGTTTGTCCGCTTCGAAACCACCTTTGCGCTTTGGCACTCTGGGTCACCCACCGCGCAGCAGGCCTGGTGGAGGAGCGAGCACCCCTCATACCGGATTCAGGAAATTGTAGCGAATTTGTAGTTATAGCGCGCTCGCCCCAGCTCAACGCTCGCCCCTCCAGACATTTCACGTTAGTCTTGAGGGTTGAAACAGCTGTTCTTAGGGCTTTTCTGGGCTTTGTTTACGGGTAGTATCATACCGCATGTGGAAGTGCCTCGGCTGACCTCTGGGACCTGGACGGCGCGCTCGACCGAGCTGGTGCCTGAGGAAGAGATGGACCCTGACAACGCGATGTGCAGTAGGATAGGCTGTAGGAAAGTGATGGGAAACGGTCACAGTATAACATGGGGACAAGCGCAGAAGTAAAAGGGGAGAATCAGGTCCCACTTTAGATGGAAAGGAAACATTGTTTGCTTGTTGATGGGGGGGAAGCCTGTCTATATAATCCAGAAAATGTTGGGTGCCAAGACACCCATGTCCGCCCCGCTCGGGATACCAGTATCATACCAGAAGGCTCAAGCATCATCCTTGTACTGTACTCGAGTAATGCATAGCATAGCCCCGCCCAAAGTCCTTCGCAGAGAGAGAGGTACGGTACTCGAGTACGATAGTATCTGGACGGGTCTTGGTGGTAGCGGAAGTACTAGTAGGGTATCGTATCCGGCCCGAAGTACCGGTATCTGAAAATGACAAGTTTTTTTTTTTTTTTGCTGGCACAGTGGTTATGTAACACAATCCGTATTTTCAGATAATTCTTGGCTGATACAAGTACTTGTACTAGTATAGATACTCGAGTACCGGTACTGATACTCGTCCCCCGAAAGAAGTACCCGAAAACAGGGATAAAAAACTTGTATGGCAAATCGTCTGTGCGTGTCAGAGCGCCCATACAAAATATCCTTGTATTATAACCCCCTGTTTTCGGGTACTTCTTTCGGGGGACGAGTATAAGGCACTGGGGAATAGTGCCTGGCAACAGACTTACGCCGCCCGTCAACTTGGAGTGGTAGCAGCAAAATTCGCTCGTATTTCTCAAAGTGGACCTCCTGGGAGTGACCAGCGATGGGGGTGCCATTGTTAATATAAAACTTAGACCTCGCAGGAGTACGGTAACCTACCGGTAAGACCGGTATTTCGCACTGGTACTTGTACCGGTAGTTTGGCTGCCGCCAAGACCTTGGGACTTTATCATACTTTTCCTTTCGGCGAAGAACTTTGCTGACGGGGCTGTGCCTGAATGGCCAGGAGGACTTTTCGTGTTGACTTCATGTGCCCCCCCGCCTCAAGCTCCGTTTGGCCATACTGCCTGCCGTAATCCCCCTATTACCGTACTACAAGTATCCTATTTGGTACATAAGCGCTCTCTACGGGCACATGACCCCAGAGTTCTCCACAGGCAGAGGGGGACCAACAATGTTAGTTTGTTATCATATCATTCTCGAGTAACTCAAAGTCTCCCAGAGTCCTACGAGTAGGAACTGGAAGTACCGGTACTGGCTCCTTTCTCTAGTGGGCCAAGTGAGAGACGGTGATGTCTGCGCTACGCTATTCTTCAGAGGCCCGGACCTCAGCTGTGCTTGGGTCTGATTGGAGCACCGCATATGCCCTACTGTCCTGCACTCGAGTGCCGGTACCGTACTGGCGGCAGTACGAGTACAGTACGAGTACACTACGGTACGGCTGGCTTCCACAGCTCAAATTTGCATGTTTGGATTCCACATTCGGACGCTGAAATATTCAGGGGACTTGGGATCAGCCTGATCATCATGCCAGCCTCAAGGACTGCTCCGGTGATTGGAGGACACAGGCTCCGGGAAGACTTCATCTACCGGTACTGGGGCAGCGGCCTTTGGCGTGGCGACCAGTGCGTGGGCGAGCCATGACGCTGTACCGCAAAAGTCAAGTTGCGCACGATAGTTTTTTGCTGTCTGAACGGAATTCAATTTCCCTCAGATCCAAGTGCACGCCCTAATAAAACCTCCCTGCCAAACCTTAATAACCAGCGGCCGGCCCAACGAGATGCACCTATTTTTTGAACACCTTCTTTCCTTACCCTTTTCGTCTGTGTGCGTCCCGGTTGGTCCGATCAGCGGCATCTTTTCAGTGCCTTGATCGATCTTGGGCGTGAGATCTGCCGTTTCCCGCTTCACTCCACCATTCTTTCCCCTTGTCTCTCAGCCAAAGTTCCACCCCCACACACACAGAGTACTGTACGAGTACTTCAACAACCTGTCGAATGCCGGCACAGTACTCGCACAAGTAGCATTTCCCTGTCTGGAGCCACCTCTCGACAGGAAACGGTTTCCGACCCTATCACATCTTGTCAGGGCCATGTCCATTTGGCTGGCGAAAGCCAACGAATCAGGATGGAGGTGTCAGACTAGGCCGTGTGTTCATCTCCTAATGCTTCAGGGAGATAGGACCCAGTCTGGACAGACCCCGCTACCCTGTAGGCGAGTAAATTCTAGACCTGACGAATCCTGTGCCCCTCTGCTAGGGCGAAGAGGGAGTGTGCGTAACCATACATAAGCTCCTCTTCCTCCTTTTCTTCCGCTTCTTTCTACTCCACGATACAGTTTTCACCTACGCTCTCTACCGGCATTCGTTACTTTTCCTTGCTCCGAGAGCTGTTCACTTATCTGTCTGTCTTTTTAATTCATTTTAATTCCTGCTTAATTCTCACCGCTCTCCGAGCCGATTCCTCTCCTTCTAAATACCTCACCTCCCCTTTACTATTTTTTTTCTTTTTCAATCATGAAGTTTTCTATCCCTAGTGCCTTCATGGCCGCCGTGATGGTCGCTGAGGTCGTTACTGCTGCTCCTTTGGAGGCGAGAGCACCAAATGTCCCATACTTCTCTGGCTTCAACATCGGAGCCAACAAGGTGATTTGCCCTTATACATGTGTCTACGTTGTTTGCTAATGTTATACAGCCAAATGGTGACTGCAAGTCGACACAGGATTGGGTTGATGACTTTAACAAGATCAAGTCCTGGAACTCAGAGTTCACGGCAGTCAAACTCTTCAGCACGGCTGACTGTTGGGCCCTTGCCAATGCCGTCCCTGCAGCCAAAACGACTGGACTAAAAATCTGGGCCGGTGTGTGGGCAGTCGACAGAGCAAAGTTTGAGAGGGAAAAGGGTGCTCTTGAACAGGCCATTAAGGATCATGGCACGGATTGGTTGGCCGGCATAAATGTTGGATCGGAGTCTCTCTATAGAAAGGAGATCCATCCCGGTGTTTTGGCCGAACAGATCTGGGATGTCAAGGGAATGGTCCAAACTTCCCTTGGCGCTCCCCACATTGCTGTTGGATCTGCCGACACCTGGACCTCATGGGTTGATGGAAACAATGCCGATGTCGTCAGGGCTTGTGATGTTTGTTACTTCCGTATTATGGATTTTTCTTTCTTTTTCCTGTGCTAATTGAAAATAGGTTATCGTTATGAATGCATTCCCGTATTGGCAGGGTGCTGAGGTTGATAACGCTCAGAGTGTCTTCCAGAAGGCTATTGACGACACCAAAGCTGTAATCGGCGAAGGCAAGCAACTCATCATTGGTGAGACCGGTTGGCCTACTGGGGGCCCTGACTTTGGTTCCGCCCACCCCAGCATTGAAAACCTCCAGAAGTACTATAAGTCTACGGGTTGCAGTCTCCGTAATTCCAAAACCCCCAACTTCTGGTTCAGCACGTGTAAGTTTTCCCGTAATCGTGATTTTTTCTTCTTTTTCTTCCAAATGTTGATGAATGTGTAGTCGATGAGCCAAACAGAGCGACCGATATCGAAAAGAATTTTGGTATTGCTACTTCCGGTAAGATTATCCATCTTTCTTTTTGTTATTACCAGTGAGTTGACAATTCGATAGACCGCAACCTCAAGATCGATATTACCTGCTAGACGTATTAATACTGTTTTCTTGGTCTTTTGAAAAAAAAGTTGGGTGGGATGTGGCGGAAGGGTTTTCTCATTTTCATGGTTTTTATTCGTATATTGGGGGTCTCGGGTTGGCAGTGGGTCGGACTAAGGTAGTTGGACTTAATTCAAGTCGGTTTAGGCTTATTTTGGTTTGATCTGTGCATTTGAGATTCTGTGAGTAAGCATATTATGGTGTCTAGATTGCTCGTGATGGGTGGGTTCTCGACCTGTCTTCATTTCAATGCCCTAGAGCGATTGCCCGTCATTGGGGGCTATTGTGAGGGCCCTTGTGAAGGGGGAGTATTTCAGTTTGTCGATATCGTGTCGTAAAGGCGGATGTCACCAAAATTCCCACCTCGGGCACCGTATTATATTCCCTTGGCCCCCGGCAAGACTTTTCCCTTTGTTTCGGTATTCATACGTGAGCCTCAGCCATGATAGCTGTCGAACGCTGTTCATGGGCGATCGCTCGGGACATGCTTATGGGGGTGTTGTCATGTTCCCACACATTGAGTTTGACCCACACTTTCCCGGACGACTGATGTGGAACAAACGCGAATCGCTGCTATCGGCGATACTTGTGCTTTAAATTTGGATGGCCCCGGGGGAGACGGAGCCTCATAGGTTGTCACTCGTAGTGGGGGTGTGTCACGCCTCACGGTTGGAGGTTGCAAGGTTGCGGCTAGAAATTATGGAACAGTCATTTGAGGTTAGCCTGCCAAATAAATACTTGTATCCCTCTGTTCCGGCTAAGGCTTTCCTATATAATTCCCCGGTAAATGTGACGTGTCTGAAATGTGTGATATCACTGCTGTTACTGTACAAGTACAAGTATCACAAACATTACTAGTTCATAGTGTTTGTGGAGGTGTGAACGGGTGGTGCCGGTTCAGGCTGCATCTTCTCGAACTGCGCTAAGGAATCCCTGCTTTCTCCGCTTTCTCGGGATGATCTATCTTGTCGTGCGTTCGTTCGGGTACTGTAGCTAGATTTGAGCAGGGGAAGATTGGGGGGAAGGGGTTTAATTTATGATAGGATTTCATCCTAGCTTTCCCCCCAATCTCAGCAACAAACAGGCAGGCGGGCGAAACAAACAAACAAGGCGAATAAGCTATGAAGTTTCCCCTCCTTCTCCTTTTATCATTTCTGTCCCTCGCCCTCTCCCATGCAGGGAAGGAGTATACCGAGGAGGACATCTCAAACCTTCGTCAAAAATGGGCTTCTGAACACCCTTTCGGCGGAATCTCCACCTTTGCCCACCTTCCACACGTTCACTGCCTCACCAGCCCGCACGAGGGGTTCGACATTGCGATTCTTGGTGCCCCCTTCGATACGGCTGTAACTTATCGACCCGGAGCACGCTTCGGCCCACGAGCCATACGCGCTGCGAGCGCAAGACAGTCGGAGAGTAGGGGATTTAATGTTCGTGCGGGTATAAATCCGTACTTGTCGGACGTGAAGTTACTTGATTGCGGGGACAGTGTGTTTCCCCGACGGGGGAGTGAGGGTGAGGAGGAGGAGGCTAATTATTGGGGAGCGGGTAGTTCCGATATCACCATTCGATAACGAGCTTGCACTGCGACAGATGACCGAAGCGTATAAAGAGTTGATGTCCCGGTCCACTCCCTCTGGCCGGCGGCCAATAATCGTCACGCTGGGTGGGGACCACTCGATTGCGTTGGCGGCATTGCGTGGGGTGAATAGCGTTTATGGACCTGTTTCTGTGGTTCACTTTGACGCTCGTATGTTCCCGTCTCTGCTCGCTCGCTGCGGGGTACGGTGTCGTGGCTAATGATTAGACATCGACACCTGGCATCCAACAAAATATACCTCCTCCTGGCCAACTCTACAATCCACATTCACCCACGGCAGCATGTTCTACCTGGCCTACAATGAGTCTCTCCTCCTTCCCACATCCAATATCCACGCGGGCCTACGCTCCCGCCTTTCCGGCGCGGATATGAGCGACTACGCTGATGACGATGCCCAAGGGTGGGCGAGAATCTCCACCGATGACATAGACGACATAGGCGTTGCCGGAATAGTCAAGAGGATTTTGGAGCACGTTGGCAACAACAAAGTGTACCTTTCCATCGACATTGACGTTCTGGACCCCGGGACAGCGCCGGGCACTGGAACGCCCGAGGCTGGAGGGTGGACAACAAGAGAGCTGATTAGGATAATCCGGGGGATTGAGGGGCTGGACGTGGTGGGCGTGGATGTGGTTGAGGTTGCGCCGGCCTACGATTGGGCGGAGAGTACGGCGTTGGCGGCGTCGCAGGTGGTTTTCGAGGTTCTGAGTAGCTTGGCCAAGAAAGCTGGGGCTGCTCTCAGAGTGGAGGCAGAGGCGAGGGATGAACTGTGAGGGAATGTTGGGTTCCTGCGTGGTGCCCGTGTCATGTATGGGAGAGGGCGCTAAAGTCTTGGTTGACGGAGCCTATGCTCCTGGAGGGGGCGTTTGATGTCCCGATGATAAAATGGGGCTGCGAGGAATTCTGGTGGGGGGGAGAGCAGCTTTTGCCACTGCATGATGTATGTGTTGTGGTATAATACTATTCCCTCCAACCGCCAGACTCTGTGTACCAGTATTGCCTTTTTGTGATGGTGTTAGATTATATTACACCTCTTACCAGAGCACTCGCCAAACAAAGCATCTCGTCCAACCCGATGGACCCACTGCCACAAGTAAATTATCAACCTGAATTACGCACCCATCCCGGGAATCGCAGCACGATTACCAGCACAGTGCGTACAGACCCACGAAACGGGACATCCACTCGGAATCCACCTCAGCGCGATGCCAATTACCAAACCCATGCATAAGGCGGAGGCCATACCCGATCGCCTAAGCTTGCTTTTTGACCATTATCATTAGCGTAGTATTAAGGAGATCTTGTTCGGTCGATTCGCAATTGAACCGTACGAGTACCGGTACCGTATCAACTGACTGGTCCCCCCCTCCCCCATTTCATGATACAAGTGCCAATCTCTGCCCTGCGCTTATTGTGGCTGAAGGGGTACGGTGGGTGCATTTGACTTGGTGCTTACTTTGCTGCCATACCAGTACGGTGCTACGAGTTACTGTGGGGGGCGTATAGACCGTATGGTAAATTAACTACGTAACCCTAGAGTTGGGTTGTGCTATGATACTCTGAGGCACGTACTATAGTAGCAGTAATAGTGGTGGTAATTTGGAAGGCTCAAGAATTCATCACGGCGGGGGTAGTTTGACTGGAAATTCGTCTCTTTCCGTCCAATGCCTGGTATAGGAGGGGGGAGGGACAATGTCCTCCTCCTCTTCCTCTACTGGTCCCCGTGCGATGGGGAGATTTTTGAAGAGGAAGAAGAAGGGGTGGCCGACTTAGACGGAGTAGCGTACTCGCAATGGTGTGGTAGTGGCTATGATAAAGTTGGTGAGTGGGTTGAATGTCTTTCCGTTTTTATATGTTCCTCACGGACTCTTGTGATAATGCGAGTGCGGTGCCTTATGTGTTGTTGTTGTTGTGGCTGTTGTTGTGGCGGCGGGAATGATGAGATCTTGGGCCTGGTCGAGTGAGTGAGTGAGTGAGTGAGTGAATTCTAGATGCCGGTATATCATGGTTTATGATAGTGGCTGGCTGGACTATCACTTGCGGGAGGGGCCGTGGCGATTAATCGCGCTGTGGGCATGGCGAGTGGCTTGGGATTCGGGGCTGGAGACATTGCTTGTATCGTATCGTATCATATCATACTGGGCGGGGTATCATACTGGCATTGTGCAGTACTTCGTGCAAGGGTTAGGCATAATAAGACATTGGCAACTTATACCGGTATTTTGGGAGCGGCACGATGCAAAGACAAGGTTTTGGTAATTTGGCAGTGGTACAGTACGGTACAGTACAGTGCTCGTACAGTACCTCACTGTGCACGCGAAAGAAAGAAAGAAAGAGAAGAAAAAGAAAAGAAAAAAACAGCCCTCCGGGAATTTGCATTTTCCTCTTCTCTCGGTCAACACTGGACAAGCATGATTTATGAACCAGGTGCCTAGCGTCTGGTCTAATACATCTGCCAGAAAATAGAATAAAATATAAAGTAGCCCTCTCAGGGCTCTTGTCGGCGATGGAAGGCTTATGCTTTTCGTCCAAGCTGGTTGTTGAGTACTACTACTGATCTTGTCCGGAATCAGCGTCGACACCCCTGCTCCGTACTACTTTGTTACATGGCTGACCCTTGTACTTCACTGTACCAGTACCTCCAGTACTGCACTGTGCCAATGCTGGTTGCCGAAAGTGGCGGATGCGTTGTCATCATACTTTAGGCCGCCAGTGTTCTCGTACTAGTACGGTATCGTACCCGTATCATACTCATGGGATACACCATTATTACCGGATTTGGCGACTAAGAAATTCTCGCTAGCTAGGGTTCATAAGCAGCCCTCTCCCTTGTCTTCATGGCCATGAAAAAGAAGAGGGCCGGGGGGTCATTTCGCAAGTCCCCTTCTGGCACCTCTGGAGCTTCTGGCACCCCTCAAACCTCTGGCACCCGCCAGGCTACCCACACTTTCCAGGCTACCCAAACCCCCCAAGCTACCGAAACCCCCCAGGCTACCGACGCCCCCCAAGCTACCGACACCCCCCAGGCTACGGGCACCTTCAAAGCTCGCAGCACTCCCACGGCCCCTGTTACCTCTCGAACTATCCCAGAAATGGCCTCCAAACAATCCCCCCCGATCCCCTTTGACAAGTAATTTCACCCTTCCAAACCCGCCTTGCCCTTTAACTGGGTGCTGTACTGATCCGCATAGATTTGCCTCCTCGGAAATCTTCACAATCCGTGCAGGCTCTGACCTCCAGGCCTTCCATGTTCACAAAGACCTCCTCGCCGGGCTCTCGGACGAAATGCGCAATCATGTGTACAACGACATGAGAGAGGGCAAGGTAAACGTCATGGACATGGGGCACGTATCCCCAGACACCATGCAGCGGTTCATGGAGTTCTGCTATTCCGGGGACTACCTGTACGCTCCTGGCGCTGAAAACAACGAAGACCCTCTAAAAGATAAAGAGGCCACGGAAGCCCTTCCGATTCTGATGGCACACGCAAAGCTATACGTCTTTGCCGAGATGTTCAACATTGCCTCGCTGAAGAAACTGTCGGGTGACAAGATCATCACTCTCACACGCCTCTTCGGAGAGTTGGAGGAAAGGGCGCATGGGCTCGCCGTGGTTTCGCTGATGGAGTACGTGCTGGACAATATACCCGCCACCACTGAGTCGACGGATAGGCTGGTCAAGTTTTTGGCGAGGTATTCTGGGTACCTGATTGAGAAGATTGGGGGGTATCCGGAGTTCCACCTGGCCCTAGCGAGTTCCGCGCGGGAAGACTTTTTTAGGGTGTTTTGCAAGTGGGTGAAGGCGGAGAAGGAAAAGGAGCCGTGGGACGATCTGGGATGAGGTTTTGATAGTGATGGGATTTTTCTCGCTTGGTGATTGGGACACCTTTTGGACTATTTTTCTCAGCCCAAGCGTTTTTCCCTTTTTTTTTTCACCAAGGCAAATTAGGTATTATAGCAGGTTAGGCAAAGGTACTATAAAGAGCCCACTGGGGTATTCGATACTGCCCAACTGCATTTCACTCATTGGGAGTTTTTTCCACCACCCTCCCATCATTCACCCTCACACGAGCAAGGCACGCAGTACTTATTTATCCTATGAGAAGTATCCGGAGCTCTGTGTATATTCCACTATTTGAATCTGCATCTACTCCCAAGGAGCACCAACAATTGAACGTAAAAATATTGTAAATCACCCTCAGAGCCTGTCATTTACTCACAGGATATCACTCGAGCTTGTAGTTGTGGCGTTCAGACTTGAGAGCAGATATCAATGCCCTGTGCGGTTTATTTTGGGCTTTTTTTTTAAATCAACGATAACTAACCCCTGTGGGAAATCTTCTCCATCGGATATATGCCACAATTTGACCATTTGCGACCCTTGAAACCGCTGTACCCAGTCATTACTTTATGTACCATACACTACATCTCCCAGCTCTTGTCTTGTCTTTGTATTTTATATATATATATATATACATATATTTGGTTTGCGGTCACCGCCACACACCACTAGAATCGAGTATGATATAATCCATTCGTTGCCATTTCCCCATCGTAAGTAAGCTCCATGTATGTATAGATAGACATTCCGCTAGAGAGCTTGAATTATTATTGGGGGACTGGTGTACGGCAATACAGTACCGTATGTCGTACGATAGCAACTGAACCGCATCCTCTCTTCTACCTTCGTAGGAGGTGTGATAGATTACCAAAGTTGGGAGTTTGTATGGTACTTCACAGTTTTACAGATTGGAATAAATGTCCTGCACTTAACGTACTTTGGATACCTCCTGCAGCGGGAGGATATCATATCCCTTCCTTCCTTCCTTCCTTCGTGCTCACTGGAATGGCCCATTCTAGCTAGCGGCGTTTCCGTTTCCCAACTTGACTTGGGTTTATTCGCCCGGCAAGACCTGTCTGTATCATATTCTTTCGGTTTATCCTTCATGCGGACTCGGGATCAGTCGCGACATGTGTGCTTTGCTCCAGAATTTGACAATGTTTGCTTCAAGCTCTCATTTTCAGATTTATGCACTGGTGCACTTTTTATTTTTTTATTTTTTATTTTTTAAATGGACATTTGCTGTGGTTGGTTGGTTGGTTGGTTGGTGATAGGCCAACTTGAAATAACAAATCCTCTTCCATCATCGAATGTAAATCATCGCCCCACGTTCCCACACAAATAGTGGAAAAAGAAAAAAATAATACTCTGTCATATTTTGGCAGTCAGGTTTGCGAAATAGAGGTGAAATTAATGATAATGTTCCCCATGGGCTATTCGTGTCGGTACTGTAGAGATACACAATATCGCACTCGGCTATGTGAGGGGCGCCAGAGATTATACAAATTTAAGTTACATAGGCCCAACCCTCCAGATTTTGGTTTTGCATGCAGACTATACTTTGGTAGGGGAAAGGGGGCTGGTCGATTGTGACATTTGCTCAGCATCATCGCAAAGGGGACTTGGGGAAATATATTTATGGCAATAAATCTTGCGCTCAGGTTTACTTTGTAAGATGTTGATCGCCGCCGAGACTGGGGGAGGTGTTATCATTGTGCTTGAGTTTAGGTTGTATTATCGTGACATGGATCGCTCGCCAATTGAAATGAAAGAGAGAAAAGAGGGGGGGGAAAGGTCAGGCTAATCCCACCTCTCAACCACCCAACATCTGCAACCAGTGCGGTCTCGCAAAACCTCCACCATCCCCTTCCGCAAACTCTCTCCTTACCAATTCGTCCCATACAGCCTCCCCCTGTTTGCACACGCTATACAACTCCCCCCTGGTCTTTGCCTCCAGGCCCTCCTTTCCCCCGGTCTCCTTGACGATGGCCAAATACACCAGCTTGGCCTCGAGCGTGCCGACGATCGGCCTCAGGCCTAATGCGATCCTGAGGTCGTGCTCGACAAGCTTGATCGCGGCCAGTGCTGCGGTCCGCAGTATCACTGCAGTGTCGGCCATGAGCTCGACCGCGCACAGAGGCATCAGTGGGTTGAAATGGGCGCGAAGGTTGGCTATCGCGTTATTCCACATCGCGTATTGGGCCGTTAGTGCCGATGTGATACGTTCGTGTTCGGCTCGGGAAAGCCCTAGTTCCGCTGGTGGGCGGTAGGGCCGTGGTGTCCTTGCTCCTTCCCCCCATTCTTCATCTTCGTCCTCGTCTTCCTCCTCTCCGTGCCCCTGTGCTCCGGGGGTTTGGAATCGGTGGGCGAAAGATTTCCCAAAGAGGGCTTCCGCGTCGCCGCGTGTGAGGTGGAGCACCCGGGAGAAGCCTGGGAATGATGTGGAGAGGTTCCATGTGCTTGGCGTGCTGGTGGTGCGTGAGGGCTGGCCGAGGTCGATATTGGAGGTATACTTTGATACAAGCTCCCTCGCGCAGGCTACTAGTATATTCGCCTCGGAGCTGTAGCGGAACATTAGGTTTTTTTGAAGAATACCGCGGCCGCTGGGGCGGATGTGTGTACGCTGAACAAGGGTCAGGAAGGTGGTCAAGAGGTGGATTAGTTGGCGGATGAGGACATAGGCATCGATCGGTTTGCCCCGGGCGAGGACAGGGGCGGTGGGGGCACTGGGGATGCTAGGAGTGGTGGAGGAAGTGGGGAATAGAGGCATTTTTATCTCTGTTCTTGCAGAGGCGGTTGTGGAATACCTGTCGGTGATGTAGTCGCTGGTACGGCAGTAATGGTCCCCTCCAGAAGGCAATTCGGATATTGTGCGTGGTGAGGCAATCTCTATGAATGTGATGGGGGAGAAGGAAGAGAAGGCGGAGGCGGAGGCGGAGGAGGAGGGGGAGGTAGTGGTTGGCGAAGGGACGTCAATAGGTTCTTCTGCAGACCGGGCACCTGTAAACTCAGGGCCGAGGCGCAAGGGAACATTGCTGGCATGCATCATCAGAGGGGGTGTCAGTGGCAGAGCAAGCTTTCAGGGTTCATGTTGATAGGAGCCGTAGCCATTGTGTCCCAATGCAACATTGGGAAACTTACTGGCTGAGGGTAAAAAAACCTCAGTGGTGTCGAATGATAGCATTAGGGTAGAGGGAAATTTCTTGCTCTGGTGGTTGATAGCATCACTATAAATCACTCGCATGGAATGGTGCAAGAAGGCTTGATGTGAGCTGTGTGTAAAGCACTGAAACCCTCCCGGTGCAGAACTACCTCCACATATACTGTAAATTAATTACTTACCGGAGAGGCCCATACATTTTACTTGTGACTCCCCAGGCGGGACACTATAATTGCCAATTTGAAAACTCATTGTGATTATGTAGATATTTTCCTTCTCGTACCGGCCAACAGAAACAAACGGTCCCCTTCCAAAACTCTACTGCCTATATAGTCACCACCGTGGCAAACACCAAGTCGCTCATAACTGGCCAAGATACGGCACATGTCTTTAAGCTAGCAGCTCAAACACAGCCCAAATCACTCGGTAGTCTTGTCAAGACCGTGTGCCTTCTTCCACTCCTGAACAATGCCTCTATAATCCCTCGGCGCATAAGGTTCAAAAAAGTTACGGAAAACGCCGCTCTTCCGCCTAGGGTTGACCCCTAGCTCTCTTAACATAGAATCGACGATCTGTCGTGTTGTCATTAGCATTCCTGCCCATTACAAAAATATAGGGAAAAACATAGGAATGGAGGAGAATCCCACCGGCAAGAAGTCAAAAACAGAGCAGGGCTTCTTCGCTCCTATGCTCAAATACCTCTTTTTAGAAAACACGTTTGCCATCGCGAGCTCCTTTTCTACTTCCTCGTTCGACAGAGCAACATCCACATTCCCTGTCATCCAGGCCACAGCCCAGAGCGATACCGCGACAGACATGATGGCTGAACTCGATGTCGAGAATATACCGGCAAACACCAGCGACCTATCCGGGACATCTTTCTGTAGGCAGCCTAACGGTACGATGGATCGATATAGACGGTAAGGCGTAAGTTTTGGCTGGTAGCTAGTGAAATTTGGAGGATCGGCTAGTCTGGGGAACAGGCGGATGACTTCTGCTTCAGCGGCGGATTCGAGATCATCCCAGTGCTTTTTGGCGGTCGCAGGGGCCTGTGAAACGGGCACGGGGACACCAAGCGCTATGCTATCTTCAATTGAAAAGGGGTTGACCTGTATCTCATAGCCCGTTGCCCAGATCAAGACGTCTGTCTGGAGTTCGCCAGTCTCGAGAATCACCTTGTCGCCCGAGAGGGAGGTAATTGATTGGCGGTGGACCGTAACAATTTTGCCTTCGTGGATACGATCAACGACCTCTGGATGCGTTATTATTCCCGGTGCGCTGTTCACCCACCAGGCGCTATAACACGCCTGTTAGCGGCGAAGATACGTAGCAAAGAGGGTACACACTGATGATCATCTAACTCAGGTTTAAGTTTCCCCATGTTCTCGCTCTTCAGATAACCCGCTCTCTTGAGCATCACGTTACTAATGAGGCTCCAATATAGCCAATGTAGATAGTACCCGATGCGATTGCGCCCACTGTGAAAGAACTTATAGGACCAGCTGGACGTGTCCACCAGGCTTGGGTGGTGCATGATCCCGAATCTAGCTGTGGTAATATCACTAGATGACTTTCCCAAGAATTTTCCCGGAAAATATGGTGGAACACCATTCTGGCCCGTTCGGATAACCCAGTGGACACGCTTGCCGGCCTTGGTGCACATATGAACGGCGTCCATGGCTGACTTCCCCCCTCCGTAGACTGTAACCGTCTCCACGGCGTCAGAGAGCAGGTAGTCATGTTTTTTCCCTAGGTCCTGTGTATGGAATGCCACCTTTTCGAACTTCTCAGTGGAGATTTCCGGGATCATTGGATTACTCGTCAGCCCTGTCGCAATAACCAATTTGTCCGCGACAAGCATATCCTTCCCATCATCTATCCACACAATCCAGCGGACTCCGTCTTCTGCTCGCCGGATCTTTGTAACGGTTGCATTGAACTTGATACAATCGTATACCCCGTACTCTTTCGCGTATTCCTCAATATGCCGGTGGATGGCCTCGGCAGGCACAAAGTCGCTCTCCTGTAAACCAGCGGTGGGAATGGACTTGTCGGGGAACTCGTAAACGCCAAACGGTTGCTGGGCCGTTAATTCCGGATAGATGCGGGACCTCGCCCAAGTTCCTCCGATGGTGGACTCGGATTCTAGGATGGTAAGTTGGATGGTAGGGTCGACCTCTAGGTAACTGCAGGCAAGTTTAACTCGGAAAAAATGTAGAGTAATTTGGGTGGGTGAGGCTCAGTACGTTTTTGCTACGGATACTCCTAGAAAGCCTACTGAGGGTTAATACGTAGATCGTTATATGTGGAGGAGATTAGGCGGATATGATACCTGCGCCGACAATAACCACTTTTGTGGCCATCTCGAAGATATTTCCCGTGGTCAATATACACCAAAGTTAGCGTTCAGGGGGGGAATGTAATGTGCGGACTACTCTTAAAGCTCAAAAACTTTAGCTAGAGTATCCTCGAGGCCTGAGATCCCTTTAACGGGCGGGGCTGTTATATATATACCCATCAGTGGTCCGCACGCCTGCGCTCGTAATGTCGTGAGGATTGTAGAAGTGGCTGCTCTTACATGCAGCCAAAAATTGCTTTTAGCCCCGGAATGTTGGCGGCAAGCAATTTGGCAGAAGTCTGTCTCACCCACACAAACATCACAACATTACGAGCAACCCCGGGCCCACCACAAAAGCACACCCTAGAACATGGTCATCGGGATACACACAGCGCACGATTCGGGCGGAACCGCAGCTGACCCGGTAGCAGCCTGTCACAGTGCATCCTCTTGGGGATTTCGGTTGGTGTGTTTGACAAGTGGAAAGTGTATCAATCATTGAATGTAAATTTACGGTACAAGTTGGGCAAATTGTATCTCGTGCTCGAGTATGCGTTGGCTTGATCTTTAAGGTATTATATCATACCAAGCTCCCTCAAATTCCCCACTGGGTCAAGTTAGTAGCCTTGGGCACGATATCGCAATACCCGTAACGGACAGGGAATCCTCGTGCCCCACCGGTACGGTACTCAGGTAGAGGTTCAAACACTATTACGATACGATCCCATATAAAAGGTATCCAGCCCGGCTGTCGAGTGTGTTTTTTCATTTTCATCTTTTTCCTTCCGGGTGCCAAGTTCTGAGTGGATCTGCCATACCGGTATTTGTATCGCGCACCAAAGTCCCTGAATCCGAAAAACGTGCACACCGGTGAACCGTTTGCTTTTCAACTGGGGAATGGGTGCCTCTATTGGGATAATAATCGACAATCCAAAGGATTCACACACCACATAGCGCGGATTGAGCTAAATTCTCCTTCACGATGCCACGTAAAGCTCATACATAAGTTGTCCTCAGCCAGCCAGCCAGTCAGTCGATCCAGAAGGCTGTAATACGAGCCCGAATGTCGGGCCAACTATCCACCGTGAGCTGGGCCAGCTGTTGCTCACCCAACATACCGTATATTTAGGAGCGGGCAGATCAGCCAAGAATGTGAACACACCCTCGAGTAGCATCAGGACCGCTCACTAAAATCATCATCACCGACAGAATAACCCCTGATACGGGAACTGGCGGTTACCGGTACAGCGCACTGATTCGATATTGTACGAGTACCGTAGGCGGATAACCTATCCTTGGCTACCGTATGTTGTTCTACCTGCTGACTGTGTTGATGCTTAACTCAGGACCCTAGTCGGGCATCCTCCGGAATCAGTGAGACAGTGTCGCACCGTAGTACGAGTAGGATACCGGTAGAACGGTATCATATAATACGAGTACCGGTAAACCTAGGGCACTGGTACCGGTGGAAGGTGGGGAGTCTACTGGTACTTGTAAGTTTACGCCCCCCCCCGCCATCGCATCAATGGTCTCGGATAGCTTGCGGCTGAGGGGCTGGCTTCAGCCGAGCGCAGAATTGTGGCCCATACATGTGCTCCATAATTCTGTGGGTGGAAGCGGGTGAGAAGGAGGGAGTTAGCAATAAGGGTTTGAAAGGCATACCGTACCGTAATGTGGGAAGATGACACTTGGGGGGAGATGGGGTGTGGAGAGACAGAGAAGGGGACCCGGAAGGGAAACAATGGTCGAAGCCAAGATGCGGAGAGTCGACTACCGGTATACAAATATACGGAAAACTGACACAATGCCCGCGAATTTGACAGCCTGGGTACTCACTGCCTGTCATGACACAATGCTCGTCTGTTAAATTTGATGGGGTGCAACTAAACCTGAATAGTTTAAAGTTCAACAGGGGAGGTACCCGTGTTTGTTGAAGAAAATATTTTCACTGTACTAGAACTTATAATGTTTAGTCTGGTATAGCAGTACATATATAGATAATGGATTGAGAAAGCATACTCCGAAGAGAAGTATACTACCACTTCCAAGTTGACGCACTCACCAGCGCAAAATGAGCCTTCAACCAGGAGACGAATTCCCTTCTCTAAAGGATTTCAAGTCAGCAGTCGCAGATTGGTCAGTAACAGCGAAATTTCCCTACCGAATTCACAAATCCTATCCATCCTGTGTCAGCATCAAATATCGGCTATCCACCTGTCCCTTTAGTATCTACGCAGTTGTCCAGTCAGCTACCAAAAATGCTGCCATTATATCTATTTCACCTGTACATACTTGTATTGGTTCAGCCCAGTTCAAGCGTACTGCTGCGAGCAGATTAGACTGGTTGATTAAGAAACTCCCAGAGATTTTAGTCATTGATAATGACACCAAACCTCGAGCGATAGTACAGGCAGTACAACATCACTACCAGGAACTTATCACCTATAATATAGCAGCTCGAGCAAAACATACAATAATTCGCAGTAGTCTATCTTCTCAGAAGGATCAGTTTAATTGTCTTCCTCAGGATTTAAGACTTCTAGAACAGCAAAACCCCAATCTCTATACACATCTTTCCCTTGATCCAAGCACAAATTCTTTCCAGAGATTTTTTGTTTGCCCTCAGACCTCACGCCAAACCTTCCTTCACTGTCGGCCATTTATAGCATTGGATGGAACATTTACCAAAACCCAGTTTATCCAGGTTCTCCTTCTTGCTGTAGGGATTGATGCTGAAAACCATGCTATTCTGCTTGCCTGGGTGATGGTAGAAAGTGAGACGGAAGATTCTTGGCGCTATTTTCTTATTCACCTTTGTCAATCAATCCCGGAAGTAAATAGGCCAGGAGTTATAGTTATGAGTGATCGGGATAAAGGCCTTGAGTCAGCAGATGATGAGTTGCCAGTTACCTATCGCAGCTACTGCACCCAGCATATTAAGGCCAATATTCAGAAAAAGTTTGGCCTAAAAGCATGAGATCAATTTGCTAAACTGGCAAATACCTGAACGAAGGAATCCTACCAATTGACCTTAGCGGAAATTATGGAATTCAGTACTCCTCTTACTGAGTATATTAGTAAAATAGACAGAACGAAGTGGGCAGCACCATACTTTCCTGGGCGAACTTACGGGCATCATACATTGAATATTGCGGAGTAAATCAATTCAACACTATAACAGGAGTGCCGATTACCATACCTCGAGTTGCTTGATGCTATTTGGCATAAGCATATGCAATTATGGTTTCAGTGGAAGGAGGAGGGCCAGAACATGTACTTGGCAGGAGAGTGGTTTACCAAGTATGTGCAAGGCTTCCTAAAAGGTACTAATCTCTTCTAATATCTATACTTGCTTTTCTTACATCTATGTCAATTAAGTTGTAAATTACTAACCATAGTTGAAATCTTATAAGCGATTGCCTTCAGACAGCAACGGTGTATTCAATTCTCTGACCATAGTGTGGCTCGTATTACAAGCCTTAATGGCAAGTTCTATGAAGTTTATCTTGCTCATGCTTGGTGTTCATGCGGTCGCTACCAAGAAAATGGAGTTCCATGTGACCATGCTCTTGCTTGCATCTACTATCTTCAAAAAGAACCAGCCGACTACATGCCAAAGAATCTTAGCATTGAGGTCTTCCGAGAAACCTATAAAGACAACATTCAGCCAGTTGATATCACACCACTCTTAACACCTTTTGATTCAAATCTGGAGGATTTAGTGCTCAATTATACACCTTCTGGTGAGAGAGCTAATGCTGGGCTCCTAACAGCTACCCTTGATCTTTTAGCTGAAGATTTACGGGAATCCGAATCTCGGGGCATTGCGGAAATGGAGGAGTTTCAGGAACGAAATAGAATTATTCCTACTGAGCGTCCTTCTGTCTATGGTACCAAAGCCTTTTTTAAGCTGGCCACAATTCGTACGAATTCACAAACTACTCTTACTAGCACTTCTACCGGCAAACTCAGTGTGTTTTAGCCTCGGTCAGTAACTTATGGCTCTCCACCGTCCACCTCAAATGTTAACCTACTCGGTTCTGGACCATGGGGACAACAAGAACCTAGAATGCACTCAGATTTAGGTGGTTCAGCAGCAGTTTCAGGTAGCCTTTGTCTTCCACCTGTCTTAGGCAATCCTAAGGGGCGGCCAAAAACTGTACGTCGGAGGTTAGGAGATCAGAGAAAGCGAATACAACTACAGCAACATCTTGGGCAATTACCGGAAGTGCCAGATTCTGGTATTCAGCATTGCTCAACATGTCGCCAATCAGGACATAATTCATGGTCCTGCTGCCAACCTCCTCTCTCCCAATTTTCTATGTCTTTTTTTTTTTCCTATCTATTTCCTATTTCATATACCGCATTAACTGGCGAGGACCGCCTGGCACTAGTATGTCAATTTAGAGTGCGATGCAGTAGTGCCATTGCCAAGAGACTAGGGACATATAAAAAAAAAGGGTTCGCCAATAGCGTTAACTTCATTCCATACATGAATCCAATTCCACCCCATTTCAAATAGCCATACCATGCACCTCCTTGAAAACAGATACCACATTTTCTTCATCTGGTTGAGCCAATTGCCAGTCCCCAACTTGATATTCCTTCTTTGAGATCCCTTTTACTGATAACTCCTCATCACAGGAGCCGTCAATTGGAAGTGAAAGGCCTACTTTCCGGAATGAATTTACCACCACTTCTCTTTTCTCAGTAGAAAAGGTCTGCCATGCCTCAGCTACACATCTCTGAATCAATACCCGTCGATCCTCCACAGCACTAGTCCTAGTAGTTTCTCTCAAATCCTCGTTATGTTGGATTTCATACAGGTCTAAGGCCTCTTCGGTAAGGCTTCGTAGAATGTCTTTAACAGGCTTGTTGATAGAAATATCAAGTGGCTGTAAAAGTCCGGTACATCCAGGGGGGATTAGGGAGGGGATGATATCGTGTGATTGTAAAGTAGATAAAACAAGCTTTGTTTTATGAAATTTGGCCACGTCCATTGCAAGAAGTCTTGGTCCAGGGGGTAGGTTAGGTACTAGCATATTGGTGATCCAATTAACAAGTACAGCTTCATTGGCATATGCATTGGGGTTGAAAATAACTTGGACTCGAGGATCGTAGCGCTGGTATTCGGCGGCCCTTCTTTAGATATCAGTTGGCCGAG